TGAGCTGAGATCATGCCACTGTACTGCAGCCTGGGTGACAGAGCAAGACTCTGTTTAAAATATATGTATGTATGTATATAAATATATATAAATTAAGAGTAGTATTAAGAGGGTGGAGTAGGTTGAATAGTGTCCACTAAAACTCCTGTCTACCTAGAACCTCAGAACATGATGTTATTTATAAATAGGGTCTTTGCTTAAGTTTTAGAAAAGGACTGAAATGAGATCATACTAGATCAGTGTGGGTCTTAAATCCAATCACTAGTGTCGCTACATGAAGGGAGAGGACATGGAGTCACAGGGAAGAAGGCCATGTGACAACAGAGGCAGAGACTGGAGTAGTGTAGCTACAAGCCAAGGAATGCCAAGCACTGTCCAGAGCCACCAGAAGCCAGGAAGAGGCACGGAAGGATTCTTCCCAAGAGCCCCTAATTTCAGGTAACAAACTAGATACTTCAAGGACAAGCATGGCTAACCCACGGCCTGCAGGCCACATGCAGCCCGGGACGGCTTGAATTTGGCCCAACACGAATTTGTAAACTTTCCTGAAACATTATGAGATTTAATGCATGAACCTATTTTTTTTTTTTTTTTTTTTTTTTTTTTTTTTTTTTTTAGCTCATAAGCTATAGCTAGTGTATTTTGTTGTGTGGCCCAAGACAATTCTTATTCTTCCAATGTGGCCAAGGGAGGACAAAACGTTGGACACCCCTTTCTAGGATGTATAATTTGATCATGTGGTGGCAGGTGTTCATTCTGTAGCTGGAGTTACAGATCAATGCAGGAGAATGGCATTTGAATACTGGGGACAGTTCTGCCAAAATTTGTCTGCCGAAGTGCAAAGGGCTCAGCAATTAGGGAGCCAAGGCCCTTCTTGGCATCTTTAAGATAATTTTTCATTGTAATTCTGTGTCTTCACTGGCCAGGGGCATATATACCTGAGACATATGGATAGGTAGATAGGAAGAGAGCTGCATATCAAAAAAGGAAATTGATTTGTAATAGCCACATTTAAAAAAATCTGTAATCAGAGAATGAAAAGCTGTACCTCAACTATCTCATGCCTATGTACTTGTGTAACTGTACTTGAAAATGGTATTTATTTTCTCCTTGCCTCCGCCCAGAAAAATAACTTGAGGAAGTGGTTAAATAAATCTGGTATATTTTGGCCAAAGTTTTGCATATTCAAGTAAACCCAGTATCTTTCTTTGGTGCCAATATGATGTTTCCTTGGGTTTCCTTCCTTTTATTGGTGAATACTGTGGTTGCCTATTTCCCATTTAGTTTAGAGTTCCACAGGACAAATCACTGTGGCAAGAATTCATTTTCAGTGCTGATCAGCATCCAGTGGCAGGTGAGTAGATCTCACAGGGATGAGTGACATTGTACATCTAACAGGGCAGAGACGGATGCACACAAACTCCTGACTCTGCAGAACCAACGAGGGTGACCTAAAACACCCTAGAAACTTGGAGGCCACAGCAGGGGCTCTGGAACCTTTCCTTTTAAAAAGAAACCAGTCTGCTTTTTCTGATTTGGTTCTTTAAGACTTAAGACTTTACTTACGTGTTATTTTTAAAAACAACATCTATTTCTGGGCATAATGCCATTTCCATGAAGCTGGTCTCTCCTAGTGAAGATTCTCCACATATTCCCTGCTTTTCCCCTCCCTTCCTCCCTCCTATGCTTCCTAACTTCCACATAGAGTTGAAAGCATCAATTTAGGCGTCTCTAAGAATGGAAATAAAGATAGCAGTTCCTTAGTACTGACTTCCAGATGCTTACTGACTTTTCAGGAGAACTTGGTTGATTTTTGTTTGTTTAACCAATGCTTTTCAAATCATTGAGTGCCTCAGTGGTGAGCACTGCCCATGGTACCTACACTCCCCCCGCCACCCATATGTGCTGGCTCCAGGTCCAGGTTGCCTCCCGTTTCCCTCTACTATTTCTAACTTATCAAGAGGTACAGGCAGAAGAAAAATACATGTTCCCTGATCAGCTGTGATGTGGTGCTGATAAATAAAGGCAAATCCCAAATCTATGGTTTTGTCTCAGTCCTTTAGGTTCCTACCAAAAAAGTAAGCATTTCTCAAACTGCATTTCCTAGAATGGTAGAAAATACAGTAGCTGCTTGGGCAACAAGATCTTCTGGTCAAATAAGATTGGGAAATGCTCATATTCTCTCCCTCCTCTCGGGCATTCACAGTACAACCCAGTGCAATAAATAAGCCTGTTCAAATTTGCTTAGTCTAGCAATTTCCAGTGTATTTCACTATCCATCCTGCCCCCTTCCCCTCCAGAGCATTTTTTCTTGAAGTCTTACTAATATTTTCTGTAGTTCAGAAAGGGCCATAGAAAGATATCATTGTGAATATGCAACCAAGTTTTTCAACAAATATTTAATAGAATATGACATTTTAGCACCCACAAAGAAAAAGACAGATGGAACAAGTTTAAATTGTATCAGTAAGTCCTGACATTATTCTCAAGTAATGGCATCTTAATTAAGAATATTCTTCCTTTGGAAATATCTGATATAAGAAACAGCCACCTATCTTGGTAAAAATGATTGGAAAGCAACCCTATGAAAATGCTGGGCAGAGAGAACAAAAACCACCACCCCACTCTCCAGGATATATCGTTAATAATAGGGAAGGTGGAAAGGGGAAATGTACAAAGAAAGAGAGGGTCACTTCATTTTCCCTTACGTAAAATAGTTGTAGAAGAGGAGACAAAATGTATGGTTGCAGAAGTAATGATCAGCACTGCCCAAGAAACAAAGTGCTGGGAGACTCATGAAACACAGCTGGGAGTGACATTTCAATACAGTGCTGAGGTTCCATAGATTCCGGAAGCAAAGCGTCAACTCTCTTATTTGCTCCCCTCCCTATCACTCAGTAATAATAAAAGAAATACAAGTGATAAAACCCACCTAAAGCAACAGTGGGTGAAAAAGAAATTACCGACACTCGTTTCATTGCCATTAGCCCTGGAAGTGCTTCTGGTCCCCAACAGCAGTGTCTAACAATGATAAAGCCTCCCAATGGGCAAATGTCATCTATGGTGGTGTTGGCACCTACAGATAAAGCAGCAAAGATGACCCCAGCACTCGGAGTCTCACTAGACTTGACAAAGGAAGAATGCTCCTAGTACCCAATCTAGTACTTCTATTTGTGTATGACTGAAGGAGTAAAAGACAGGGTTGTTTTTCTTTATGTTCTATAGCAAAATAATACTGAAAACATTAAAACAAGGTTTTGTGATTTATTCCTAATCGTCTGTCCTAAATGTTACCTTTTTTTTTTAATCAAAATTTAGTATTGTGGGACATTTTGCATTTGGGCTACTTAGAAACAGCCAGAAAGGGTTTAGAAGGTTCAGAAACAGCCAGGAAGGGTTTTTTTTTTTTTTTTTAACAGAGTCTTGCTCTGTTACCCAGGCTAGTGTGCAGTTGTGCAATCTTGGCTCACTTCAACCTCCACCTCCCAGGTACAATATATTCTTGTGCCTCGGCCTCCGGAGTAGCTGGGCTTACAGATTTGTGCCACCATGCCCAGGTAATTTTTGTATTTTTAGTAGAAGCAGTGTTTTGCCATGTTAGCCAGGCTGGTTTTGAGCTCCTGACCTCAAGTGATCCACCTGCCTCAGCCCCGCAAAGTGCTGGGATTACAGGCATGAGCCACCATGCCCGGCCAGTTTTGAGAGATTTCGTACTGTAGAAATGAGAAGGAGAAGGAGTTGTACTCAAATTCCTGCCTCTGTTTCCTGAGGGGCCAAGGAAGAAAACTTGAGTGTTTATCCATAACTAAATTATGGCTGACATAAAATATAATCCTATACAGCTAATAAAAATATAAAAATATTTCATAACATGGAAACATATTCTGAAAAAAAGATTAAGGTTCCAAATGAGTAGGTACAGTAAGATTTAATTTTATTAAACATAAAACAAAAGGCCAGGTGCAATGGCTTACCCCTATAATCCCAGCATTTTGGGAGGCCGAAGTGGGTGGATCACCTGAGGTCAGGAGTTCAAGATCAACCTGGCCAATATGGCGAAACTCTGTCTCTACTAAAAATACAAAATTAGCCGAGCATGGTGGTGCATGCCGGTAGCTTCAGCGACTGAGAACGCTGAGGCAGCAGAATTGCCTGAACCTGGGAGGCAGAGTTTGCAGTGAGCCCAGATTGCTCCACGCAACCCCAGCCTGGGCAACAAGAGCAAAACTCTGTCTCAAAATAAACAAACAAACAAACAATAAACAGAAAAAAATGAGATTAGAAGTAAAATGTAGCTCTCTCTGGGCAGTAGATTTGTGAGGGACCTCATTTGATTCTCTGTGTTCTTAGAATTTCTCTCTGATACATATTTTAGCTACTTTAATTTTTATAGAATAAACCTGCTATGCATATTTGTGGAACAAACTAATAAAAAGCCACACTATCCTTTAGCTAAATACAAATCTAACGATGTACATTTGACAAATTTCTTTTTTTTCCTAGAAAAAAATTTTTTTTCCTAAAAAATGCTGAGTGTGATGGTGCTGAGCTTCATTTTGAACTTGTTCCTCTGGAATGAACAGGGAGTAGCAATACTCCAGGGAACACAGACTCTATAGATTTCCTACCTCCCTGGCTCAGCACATAAACACATTGAGACATGAATGTGGGAGGTTAGCTAAACAGAGAAAATATAAATATATTTTGAATAAGTCAGGAAGCTATAGAGAAGATCAGAGATTTGGAAAAAGGCATTTCTCATATTCTTCTTCTGTTATCTACAGGGAAGACCCTGAAACCTCATAATGTGTGCCCCTGGTTTCTTCACATATAAAATAGATGACAAGAGAATTTTGAATAAATTGTATTTGAATGTCAAATCTGGTTAAGACATCAACTGCAGAATCTTATCAATGGTACATAGAAATTTCAAATGCTTCTGATAAAAAGTAAGCAGCCACAACGACATGTTAGGAGGCCGGGCGCGGTGACTCACGCCTAGAATCCCAGCACTTTGGGAGGCTGACGCAGGTGGATCACAAGGTCAAGAGATAGAGACCATCCTGGTCAACATGGTGAAACCCCGTCTCTACTAAAAATACAAAAATTAGCTGGGCGTGGTGGCACACGCCTGTAGTCCCAGCTACTCGGGAGACTGGGGCAGGAGAATTGCTTAAACCCAGGAGGCAGAGGTTGCGGTGAGCCGAAATTGCACCATTGCACTCCAGCCTGGGTAACAAGCGAAACTCTGTCTCCAAAAAAAAAAAAAAAAAATGAATGTTAGGAAAGAATACTGGCAGGACTAATATTAAAGAGATTAATTTGGTTCAATACTTAAATACAACACTGGTAATAAACTCATTGTAAATACAGATGTTTCTGCAGCACAGATCTCCCTATGCTTACATCCATTCTGAACAACTTCATGCTTTTGGATCTCTTTACAGAAAGTGTTTGGCATAAAGTAGATGCTAAACAAATGATTTCTTTCCCTTTTGCATTCATGTGGCTTATTTCCCAAGAATGTATTGAAGTTTCAGTGGAACGTTAACCCATGCAGAGGCAAAACTTTTAAATCTTCCACTATATGTGTTTATACAACCATTTCTGAAATGTGTGAGGTATTCCACGGTTCCTGCTTTCTAAGCTCAAGTATTTGGAGTATGATTTAACTCATCAACTAATGCTCCGCGACCACTACCGTGCTGTGTTGCAGGGAGGTTTCTGGGGTTTGCCATGGGCTGCTGCTCCTAAACCCACCATTGGTCTCCAGTACGCTTTTCTGATCCTCTTACCCAGCCTCACAGCACCCCTTTCCAGCCTTTCTACGGGTTATTACACCTATTACTGCATGTTGTAACTTCTACTGTGCTTCCTTTTTTAATGAAAGACAAAGGAGGCCGGGCGCGGTGGCTCACGTCTGTAATCCCAGCACTTTGGGAGGCTGAGGTGGGTGGATCACAAAGTCGGGAGTTTGAGACCAGCCTGGCCAACATAGTGAAACACCGTCTCTACTAAAAAGATACAAAAAAATAGCTGGGCGTGGTGGTGGGTGCCTATAATCTCAGCTACTTGGGAGGCTCAGGCAGGAGAATCACTTGAACCCAGGAGGTGGAGGTTGCAATGAGTCAAGATTGTGTAAAAAAGAAAAGAAAGAAAAAAAGTTGGAGGGAGAGAGAGAGAGAAAGAAAGAAAGAGAGAGAAAGAAAGAAAGAGAAAGAGAAGAAAGAAGGAAAGAGAAAGAAAGAGACAGACAGGGAGGAAGGAGTCTGGACTATGAATTTTGGGATGGAAAAATCCTCATAGTTTATTTTACTTTTTGACTCTGATATTAGACTGTTAAAGTTGTGGATCAGTTGCAGAAAATCTGCCCTCCAGAGAAGCATGCATTAGTAAAAACAAACAGCAAAATAATTCCCTATTCCCTAACAAAACAGTGATGTGTTCTAGTACAGGAACCACATCTGCATCTACAGACACTGCCTCCACCCCCAAGTGCTCATACATTTCTGAGCCTTGCTATGTCATGTACTCTAATGATAAGTACCTCACAAGAATGCTATGAGGGAGGTAGCATTATTACATTTACTTTGCAGGGGAGGAAATGAGGGGTTTGAGAGGTTACATCCTATTCCCAAGGTCACCCATCCAGCAGTGAAGAGTGAGGATTTGAACCCTTGGCTAATTGGATGTTGTCATCCTGCTATACTATTTCTTTATGGTACAACAGGCTGACAATGTAGAGGATCTTTGCTTTTTTTAATGTTACTGGCTTACTTGGGAGGCTGAGGCAGGAGAATCACTTGAACCAGGGAATCAGAGGAAGCAGTGAGCTGAGAATGTGCCACTGCACTCCAGACTGGACAACAGAGTAAGACTCCGTCTCAAAAAAAAAAAATAAATAAAAAAAAGTTACTGGCTTAGATGGGGCCCATAAAAAGTTAACATGCTTGCATGTAAGCAAAATCCTATGACTTAATCTAGCTTTGGATTCCTCCCACTGATTACCTTAAAACATGGGGATTGATGACTGGGATTTTTTATGAAATTGAACTCTTTTGTGGATTTGGAAGAAAATTCAGGCATGTTGATAGCTGAGTTCAATTTAAATCTTTTAGTGATACTATTAATAAGCTATCACGGTTTCACCTTAATTTTGTCTTTTTTCCCCTAGTCTGATTGTCGGTATAAATATACCCTTCACAAAATGTGTTTGTAAAAATTGATAAACAACATAAAATTATAGTATTTTAAAATAAGAAAGGACTCAAAAGATAATCTAGCTTTGTGCTTTTATTTCTTACTATGAAACCTGAGGTTATGAAGTATTCTTGATATATTCAAGGTGATCAGGGTTGGCAGCATTAGCAGGAATAGACAGTGTTATTTAAATAGACAGTATTTGTAAATAGATAGTATTATAAATAGTATTATTTAAAGCATGGGTGAGATGTTTTATAATCTTATAATCTAGGTCCTCATCTATATCATATTCTGTAACCAAATATTTATCTTACCTCCAAATCCATCAGGCACATATGTTTTAAGAACAATATTGCAGAAAATTGTTGGCAGTGATAATGGTTTATTTCCCTCATTTCGAAGGGAAATGTGTCGATATCCGGCTTGGAGGCCATCAAGCGGGAGGATCCTCTGGCCAATCAGCTTGTTGTTATCATCATACACTGCTATTCTCAAGACAGCCAGGTCTGGCAGGATCACCTGCAAACAGAGAACAGGACTTTTCATGGATTTTTCCAATGCAGTGCCTAAGAACCACGACTCTAAGAAGTGTGGACCAAATCCATGCTGTTCTTAAATGTTCTCTGATGGTGAAAATAAGTCCATGATCAATCTGCATTCCCAAAAACGTACTGAGTGAGCTACAACACCCAAGACACTGAGAAAAGCAATTGGAACATGTTTTGTGGAAATTATCTTCTGAAAAATAATAGATGAAATGAATGTTAAAGATTACTACTTCAACTCTTGCGATTGATCCTTGTCCCCACCCATATAATGGATGAGAAAAAGGACACACTGAGAAATAAAGTCACTTCCCTCAATCACAGAGATATCAGTGACAGAGTAGGGCCTGGGAATTGGGGATCTTGAGGTCTAACCCCGAGATCTAATATCTGGCATGCTCCTAACATCTATATTTGCTTGTTTTTAAGAATATGGAAGGTATCTTTGAATAAATCCTTCAGGCATAAGAGATAACTTTTATGAATAAATTTGAGTCTTCCTTGTTTCTTGCACTCCTCAGTTTCTACCACATGTTGGGATGTTAAATAGAGTAAGATGCTGTAGCTAGAAACATTAACATACTTTGATTCTAAGACACCTACCCCTGTCATCCCCAAACTGAATAAATGAACATAAAATCTGAGTTCAGATGGCAGAAACCTGATTCAGTTACAAAACAGCAACATTACAAAAAGGGTACCCAATGTGTTTAATCAGGAATGCCTTTTTATTGGCTAAAAGCAATCAGGACATCCTGCTCGATCTGAGTGCTATGTTTAAAGCTAGACAATGGATGTTGCCTATTTACATCTGGAGGCTATAATTTAATTCCAACTTAATGAAGATGAAGAGGAGAAATCATGGTAAATTAGCCAATTTCCCTCTCTTCCTCCTTATGCGGTGAACAGAGGCTTGGGCTTTGTCATTCTTGCCATGTGAGATTAGTGAAAAATGCAACCACGACAAGAAAGACAACAAAGCACTTGCTAGCAGTGAAAAAAACTATTTAACTTCTGAAGAAAATGGGAGGACTCAGAATTGGCATCTTGTTTCTAGTGTCAGAACTATTATATATAAACACTAAATTGGATATTTCCTCATTCATTCAAACCAAAGAATGCCTGAGTCAACTTTCTTGACTTCTAGAAATGTGAGTAGGGATTATTCATTATGCCAAAGAACAGTAGCCATGTGGCCACGGATCCAGCTATAACCATTTGGAAAATCTAGGAAGAACAAAACGAAATCACAGTTGTGTATGTAATTTACACCATGTCCTAATAGGGGCAGGGAATGAGACAATGGGATCTGAGGGTTGTGTGGATAATGGGATTCACACCCCAGGGTAAACTTAAATGTCAAAATGGCCTGTTTCATCAAACCTACATTGATCTTCCTTCATTTGGTTTCTGTAAGCCATTTACTCTATTCTGAAATGGGTAATCCCTATTTTGTGAAGGCAAGAAGCCGATTGTTTGTGGTGTATAATGTACAAATGGAGCAGAACCAGCTGGAAAACTTGTGCCAAAAGTAGCAGGAAGAAATCATTTTGGTCAGGATAACAGAGTAAGAAGGCAAAGTGAACATTCTTAGAGACAGCACTACCGAGGTGTGGTGTTTCCACTTCATTTTCAATTGACAAAAAAGAAACCAAGGCGAAAAGTGAGTAAGAGATTAAAAATTGAACATGAGAGATAATGGCCGTGATTGTTTTTAGGATCCAAGGCACAGTATTAGGAGAAAAAAGTAAAACACTAACAACAGTACAAGAAGGTTAAGGCCTGCAAGTAAGCAACAGGTATCACTCTTTCTGGAGAGACAGGACCATGCCCATGTAGTGACATCTATTGACCTTAATTTTGGAGTGCAGCATCTTACCTGACTATTTGACTAAAGGAATAGTGTAAGTCACCAGTAACTTCCAGGATAGGGAAGAACTCTCCAGTATATGATGGCGTCCAACAGCAAAGACTCATTCTAAAAGATGGCAAACCAGAGCTTAGGCACTGCCATGCAGGAGATGGGCTCCTCCAAGGAGGAGAGGAGAACCAAAAGGAGGGCAGGGCCAAACAGAACCAATGATTCTGTGACAGCTACAGAAGTTAGCCATTAGGAGAAGAGAAAAAGATGATGTTGTGGGTCGAATAACTGTCCCTCTATCGTGCAGTGTCTGTGCACTAAAACATGGCTCCCAAGTTAGTAGAGGAAGTTTGACATGCTGAAAATGTCCTACCTTCCGAAATACAAATGACTCTTCATTGTAAACTGGATTGAGTCCATTATTCATAACCATGCGAGTTCGGAATTCCTTACGTATGGTGTCAGTGGGCAACCCATACATATCCACTTCTACGTAGGTGCCAATTTTCTTATCTGATAAGAATTGACCTGATATAACCTGCAGCAGCACAGAAATAGAAGAAAGAGAAGTAAACTCTGTGTAAGCATTAGTAGCAAAGAATAATCAGGAAGCAAGAAATTTTTTTTTTTTTTGGGAGGAGTGAGAATTTCAATTATCTATCATAGTAATGTATTCATTTTTTATAAACCACAACATTGAACAACTACTATATGCAAAAAGACCCCAACTGTTTCAAGCAGATGTTCTACCTTCTAGAACTGTCTAGAAAAAGAACAAAGAAAAAATATACGTAATACAAAGAAATGGTGTCATGGCCTCTTCATCTCACCTAAGTGTCTACACCTATGAAATGAAGTGATGAATTCAGGTATGTCCTAAGATCCCTTCATAGCTCTGAAATTCCATCATGCCATACTAATTAGTGAATTATTTTAAAAGTCTTGAGACACAGAAAGAAAAACAAATCTAGAATTTGTCTGTTATTACAGATATTGACACTGGTCAGCTAGGCAGTTTTACGTATTTGTAAAGACCAATGTTAGTCTATCTACGATAAAGCTATGGAAGAATAATTTTTTATTTAGTGTTCAAATGACTATAGCTATTTATTACATTTCCTTTTTGTTTATATTATTTACTAGCTAACAATTTGAAATGGATTTTTTGAGGTATAATTGACATACAATGAATTATATGCAATTCATTGGCTGTACAATTAAGCTGGGTGCCGTGGCTCATGCCTGTGATCCCAGCACTTTGGGAGGCTGAGGCAGGTGGATCACCTGAGGTCAGGAGTTCGAGACCAGACTGGCCAACATGGTGAAACCCCTTCTCTACTAAAAATACAAAAATTAGCCAGGCATGGTGGTGGGCACCTGTAATCCCAGCTACTCGGAGGCTGAGGCAGAAGAATCATTTGAAGCTGGGAGATGGAGATTGCAGTGAGCCGAGATAGTGCCATTGCACTCCAACCTGGGCGACAGAGTGATACTCAGTGTCAAAAAATAAAAAATAAAAAAATAAAATGTACAATGAGATCATTTGGGACATATGAGCACATCTGTGAAACCATCTCCATAATTGAGATGATAAACATTTGTATCATCACCCAAAGTTTCTTTGTGCCCTTTTATAACCCTTTCCTCCCTGCTCTTTTTTCAAAGGCAAGCACTGATTTAATTTCTGTCACTATAATTTGCATTATCTAGAATTTTGTATAAATGGAATCATGGAGCAGGTACTTTTTGATGGTGTCTTTCACTTTAAGTAGCTAATAATTTTACCAGTGAAAAAATGTGTCTCCATGCACATGTATGTTCATTGTGGCACTGTTTACAATAGCAAAGACCTGGAACTAATGCACATGCCCACCAACGACAGACTGGCCAAGGAAAATGTGGCACATATACACCATGGAATACTATGCAGCCATAAAAAACGATGAGTTTGTGTCCTTTTTAGGGATATGGATGAATCTGGAAACCATCATTCTCAGCAAACTGACACAAGAACAGAAAATCAAACACCGCATGTTTTCTCTCATAGGTGGGTGTTGAACAACGAGAACACATGGACACAGGGAGAGGAGCATCACACTCTGCAGTCTGTTGCCAGTGGCTACAGGAGGGACAGCAGGGGATGGGGAGGTTGGGGAGGGATAACATGGGGAGGAAATGCCAGATATAGTGATGGGGGGATGGAGGCAGCAAACCACCTTGCCATGTATGTACCTATGCAACAATCCTGCATGATCTGCACATGTACCCCAGAACCTAAAGTACAATTAAAAAAAAATGTGTCTCATTTTTAAAATGCAGAGGGTATCTTAAGTCAAAGTTATGAGCAGCACATGGATCTTGCAATTTAACATTAAATATTTTATCATTTCAAGGACTATTTGCATATACATTTATACTACCTTGTGACGAGCTTACCTGCACTGAGCAAGTGGCTGCAATAACGCCATCAACAGGAGTTTCAGAGAAGGGATCAAATGTTCGATCAGGCCGCCTCATGAAGTCTGGTTTGAGAAGGTACCTGGTAGGACAAAAGCACAAAAGTTTATTTTATTAGTAGGTTTTACAAAGACTAAAACACTTGCTAGTTGAAACACTGCATGCTTCCTTTTCTCCATCTGTAACATAGGAGCCAGGCTTTTAGGCAGAGGGTCTTAAGGATGGAAGAGAATGTGCCTGCCCTTATGGAAAACCTTAAAGAGCTTCAGGTTCAATGGGAGGCTCAGTGGCATCCAGGACTTCCTGATCCTATCATCTTCTCTTGAACGTTTCTTCCCCTGATCCCCTTTAAACGCTTTTCTTTCTATGTATAAAATAAAATGCAAAGAATAACAATGAAAAACCAATTATATTAGCTATAGTTATCAAAATATGAAATGTGATATTCTACCTCTGTATTAATTGTACTTTTGTTAATGCATTAAATTATAAGACCTAATGGTAAGATCTAATTATGATGACAATAATCTTAAAGTACTGATGTGTACAAACATACTTTGAGACAGCTGTAACAACAGTAATGAGCTATGACAATATCTGTGATTTACATTGGTGAGAGAGACAAAGGTCACCACTAATGTGACTGTGGATTGTTGTCTACATTCACAATCAAAGGAAATTGAAATTTCAGCTAGAGGTAGGTAAAAATAAAAATAAATTATTTCCCCATTTCTAGCAGAAACAATTAGGCAAGAAAATGAATTAAAAGGTATCTAGATTGGAAAGAAAGAAGTAACCCTATTTCTAGTCACAGACGACATGATCCTATACATAAAAAACTCTAAGGAATCCACTTAAAGAAAACTATTGGAATAAATAAACACACCACTATTACAGGATACCAGATAAACATAAAAATTCATTTGTATTTCTATACAATGGCAATGAACAATCCAAATATGAAATTAAGAAAACAATTCCACTTATAATAGCAGCAAAATATAAAACACTTAGGAATAAATTAAAAAAAAATAAGTGCCTACAGTTTGAAAATTACAAAACACTGTTAAAAATTAAAGAAGATCTAAATAAATTAAAAACCATCTTGTGTTCATGGGTTGGAAGACCATATTGTAAAGCTGGCAATATTTCTCAAATTGATGTGTGAATTCAGTGTAATCACTATCAAAATCCCAGCTGACTTTCTGGTAGAAACTAACAAGCTAATCCTAAAATTCATATAGAAAGTCAAGGGATCAAGTATAGCCAAAACAATGTTAAAAGGGAGAACAAAATGGAATGTCTCACACTTCTTGATTTCAAAGCTTACTACAAAGCAGCAAGATTTAATCAAGACAGTCTGGTACTGACATAAAGAAAAACACATAAATCAATGAGACAGAATCAAAGTCTACAAAGAAATCCTCGTATCTGTGGCCAATTGATTTTTGATAAGGATGCCAAGACCAATCAATGGGTAAAAGTAATAGTCTTTAAATAAAGAGTGACAAGATAATGGGATAGTTCCATGCAAATAAATAAATAAATAAATAAAACTGGATTCTTACCTTACACCATATACAAAAATTAGCCCAGAGGATTTAAAAAAAAAAAAACTAAATGCAAGAGCCAAACTATAAAACTCCTAAAAGAAGCCATAGGACAAATCTTTATGACCTAAATTTGGCAATGGATTCTAAATACCAAAAGCACACATAACAGTACACTGGATTTCCTTTGAAAACTTTTGTGCTTTAAAAGACATTATCAAGAAAGTAAAAAGACAAGCCACAGAAAGGAAAAACATTACAATTCACATATCTGATAGGAGGCCTGTATCTGGAATATAGAAAGAATAACTAATCTAGCTTAAACTGCAAATGACATAGATGGTCTGTTTGGTGATTTCTGGCACAGAAAATGAACTCATTCCAGACATCTAGGTCTGTGTGGCAGGCAAAGGCACAAGGCCAAAGCTAATAGCAAACCAGGGATCTAAGGATTCTCTGTGGACTTGTAGGGCCTTGGAAGGCAAGAGGGGGAGAGAAGAAGGGTTGTCAACCAGGTGGGTGGACAGGAGCTCCAAGAATGAGAAAATGGGGTCATAAGGAAGCAAATGGGGTCACACCTAAGATGCCATCAGTTGTCCAACATGCCATTATTTTTTATTTTATTTCATTTATTTATTTTTTTGAGACAGAGTCTTGCTTTGTCGCCAGGCTGGAGTGCAGTGGCACAATCTCGGCTCACTACAACCTCCGCCTCCTGGGTTCAAGCGATTCTTCTGCCTCAGCCTCCCTAGTGGCTGGAACCACGGGCACCAACATGCCATTACTTTATTTAGCTGCAAGAAAGCAAAATGGCTGCGGACTATAACTGCAAGCTACCATGCATTATAAGACACATTCCAACTTGAAGATATTATATGGTATCCCCCTTTATTTGCAGTTTTGCTTTCCGAGCTTTCAGCTATCCGTGGTCAATTCTGTTCCAAAAATATTAAAATAGAACCTAATATAAAAGTTGGAAAATAAAAATTTGAAATAAAAAAATCTATTTTAAAAGATAGAAAACCCCTCATTGGAAAATGAGTAATAGACAAGTTCTTCACAAAATTGAATATCCAAATAGCCAATAAATATAAAAAATGGAAAAAAATTAAGATATTTTGAGACCACAGTCACATAACTTTTATTACACTATATTGTTATAACTGATCTATTATTAGTTATTGATGTTAATCTCCTGCTATGTCTAATTTATAAATTAAACTTTATCACAGGTATGTCTATATGGAACCACAGTATATGTAATATATATTTGGTTTGGTGATTCCAGGCATCTGCTGGAATTCTTAGAACGTGTGGCCTGCAGGCAAGGGAGAACTACTGTATAAAAACTGCCTCTGAATCATAAAATGTCATACCATTTTGATATCAATCATCCACTTTTCTATGAAAGCCTAAAATGATCGTAGATATAAATTTACACTATTTTGTTTCATTTGGAATTAGGGAAATGTCTTTCGTTTTTCCATATTCCAAAATGATACTGTTGAAAACACTGTTCACTTTCCTGGTAACATTCACAATTGCTGGTCCCAATGGTATGCCCTCCCACAAAATCAGCCAGGGAGCAGACGGGGTTTGTGTACTTTGCACACTGATGTTCTAAATAAAACAGGGATTGTTGCCTCCACAGGCCTAAAGGGCACAGAATGCCTCTTTAAGAAATGCAGTCCTCAGACTCAGTGCAAAGGGGTGGTTTTTAAGTCTTTGCAGGTGGGTGGGATAACCACAAGGGTGACGCAGTGAGAGCCATGCATGGCTCCAGCTGGTCAAGCACCAGGGACAGGAGCTCCTGTGCAGTACTGGGCCCCACAGCTACCACCACCGAGGAACACAGAGGCATGCAGGTGACGGCAATTTCTTCTCTTTTCCCTGCCAGTGACAGCCTTTGCCACCAGCTAGGTGTATGGAAAGGAGAATTAGGAGATTAAAGACTCAACTGTATTGCTAATACTATATCAACCTGGGCTGCCCCACTGCATGCTATTTTTCAGCCTTTCTGGTGAGGTGTATGCTATGCCTTTGGTCACATAGCGTCCAATACATCAGCATAGAATTCAGGCTAAAGTAGCAACATGATCCTTGTTTGTGAAAGTATTTTAAAATAAATTAATGCATTTAAAAATGACCAATGAGGTTGGGCATAGTGGCTCATGCTTGTAATCCCAGCACTTTGGGAGGCCAAGGCAGGTGGACTGCCTGAGCTCAAGAGTTCGAGACCAGCCTGGACAACATGGTGAAATTCTGTCTGTACAAAAAATACAAAAACTATCCAGGTGTGGTGGTGGGAACTTCCAGCTACTTGGGGAGTGGAGGTGGGAGGATGGATTGAACCCAGGAGGTCAAGGCTGCACTAAGCCAGGTTTGTAGCATTGCACTTGAGCCTGGGTGACAGAGCGAGACCCCATCTTAAGAAAAAAAAAAGGTGGAGAGGGAGACACTGCACATGCTAATGATGGCTAACTAGAAACTCTAGGATAAACAAACTGAACACAGAATTGTCAGGACTTTTTTATACAGATATAATTCTACTCCCTGCATCACGCCAGGCTGCCAGGATTCCTCATGGGATCGTTGAGGTGGGTGAGGAAACTGCTTTAAGCATCACCGGGCCACTGCAGGGTTCCTGAAGTGAGCACGGCCATGCCTGATGGGTCCTTTAAGAGCCAGGACTGCCAAGGTTGCCTCCCTGGGCTCCTTAAAGGCCAACTGAATAGAGCACTCATTGAATCTTGCAATGTATGTGTGTGTGATTGATGGTAAGACCTTAAGTTTTTCTTAATTCCCACTTTTGCACAGAAATGCGCAGCTCCTGAAGTCCGTTTGTACACACTCACCCATTTGACCTTACTGAGCTATTGTAACTATTAAAGAAAAAAAAATACCCAAACACTTGTTAAACATGGTAAATAGACTTTATTCAAAGGGGTAGGGAGCTGTGACAACAGGTATAGGGGCTCAACTCTGACCCCAAGAAGCATACGTGGAGATTTAGAACCAAGGCGTAGGGTGAGGGCCAGCAGATGGAAAATTACTAAGAGCAAACGTCAAGGATAAGGATTTCTGGACAAACGGACCTTATAGGATTATTGCTGGAGGTAGGCTAAGGTGACAGTATATCCAGGATGGTCAGATACCAAGGACTGGGGATTTTCCCTAAACTGAATTAGCAAGATTCTTGCTCAAACTGGATTCTACAGTGACTGAAAGGGAAGCCCAAAAGTGGGCCTCCTGAGAAAGGACTCAGTTTTAGTCAAAGGACAAAGTTTTTTTCAGTTCCCCATTTTGTTCAAGGAAAAAGACATTTTTTTTGCCTTTGACTACAACAAACTCTGTGTGGCAGGTGTCGCCGTCTTCATTTTATCAAGCGGAGAAGAGAGGCTCTGACTCTCACACACCTGCTCTAGGCAATATAGCAAGAACTAGGAGCAGCTGGGAGCTGAGCTCAAACCCTGATCTTTAAACTCCCAGCCTAGGGCTTTTACACCCAGCCCACGGCTGAACCCCTGGGACTTTATGCCTTGGTCCACTACTTGGGGGAGGAGAAAGTCTATGAAGCAATTTATGTGCAAAATCTCCCGAGTTGGAACACTTGGTATTAAATAACAAAACAGCTTTCATATAATTCTGAAATGTGAATTCTGATCTTTTTCTCCCCAACTACACATTTTTTTTTTCTTCCAAAGCACACAGCAGAGGAAAATGTAGGGTATACTTCAGGTATGTAATTGGTGGGTGACTCAGGGACTAGCACAGTCACCATGTATGCAGCCAGACTGGCAGAGAACCATTCACCAGGCAAGCAGGGGGAGGGAGCGGGCATTCTGAAAAGTCATTCCCAACTCACAACTGCCGAAAAATGTTATCTTGATTGGCAGTTTTCAGTGATAAAGCCGCCATGAAGAAATTCTAATAGCATCATTATGACAGGGGCTGGTTTTCCATTGGAGTTTTCTAGAGGCCTTTGGGCAGTGGTCTGGAGTTATTAATATTTACTTGCTTGGAGACAGACATATGGGGCCAGGGTGAGGTGAGAAGATCAACGCATAGTTTTTTTTTTTTTTTTTTTTTTTTAATCTCTACAGAATTCTAATTTTATATTTTCATTTAACCTTTCAGCATTTCTGTGGAATTAACATTTCCTGTTTCACTTCTTGGTTCACAGATTTTCAAGACTGCTATTTAAGGAAAGTAGGACAATATTCATAGCATTATTGTTTGATAACTGCTACTTATAAGACACAAAAAAAGAATCAATAGAGGGCAAAGGTTTATTCAGAACTGAATGAAATTCAACTTGATGTCCACAACTTTATTACATATGAAGTTAACTTCATTTCTTGATTTGTCCTAGTAAAACGCACATATTTAAGACCTATATCTGTAGTTAATACTCAAGTGTGCAGGGAATATTTCCTGTCCCAGACATAAAAACCTCCACTATTGATTTTAAAGTGAGAGAATTAAACTCTAGGATATGTATGAACTGCTTCACTTGTGATTTTAAAAAAAACAAAACCTGCTTAGTAAAATGGGGTAGATGAAGAATCCATATTTGCAAATATACTCTAGGTAATTCACTTGTTTCTATCCCATCCCTCAAACCCAGCTTAAATTCTTTAGCCCATAATTGAATATGACATGGCTTCATTATAGCTGTAGTATGGAGTTCTAAATCTAGGTGATAACAGTTTAAATCACATTACTCACCCGCATGATCCATTATACTCAAATTTTCCCTGATTCAATTGCATCGCCAAATCTGTCAAGAGACAAAAATAATTTAGCATCTTGTCTTCCTGGACAAAAAAGACCCTGATGGGGTGATTTTAAACAATAGGTATCAGATTGCTCCCAGGCCCACAGGTCCCTCCTTAATACTACAAGGTTCTGCTTGGTCTATTTAAGACACACTCTTTTCCATGCTGAATTGACCTCATGTTTCATTTAAATTAAGCATAAAACTTGTTTTCATAAAGATCATGCTAATGATCACTTTAAAAACTGGATTCAGTATAGGACTCATACGATTGTTCGATGAGTATTGTGAGTAGAGATACCCAACCTGCTACAGTGATTGGGTCTCAGGTTCCCCCGGGAGAGGAACAATGGAGATACCTGGTACGGTGAATATGAAACTTGATTTAAAAGATTCGAAAATGAACTAGAAAAGTATTGCATAAAACTTGGTGGCATGCTTCCATGATGAGACACATGAGACACTGGCAGTGCATGGCTTGTGACTTTTCTCTTGTTAGTGAATAAAATCTTTCTTCTCATCAGCAAAAGAAATGGGTAAATTGATGCACTTTTTTCCTCATCAAAATGCTGTGTTTAAACCTAATATCATAGAATAAAACGTAAGCTGGGCTAGAGAATAAACTGTTTTAGAGCCATTTAATCCGTACTATGGACTCACTGACAGCTGAGAACACAACTTGTCCTCTTATTAAGTAAGTGAAGTCATCAGGGTTTTGTTACTGGGCCCCACTATAAACACTCAGGGACTGAATTGGTACCTATCATGTCATAGTCTAACCTAGCAAGCACTGCGGGGACCCCATGCAGAATGGCGGCTCCAGTAGGAGGGGCTTCTGGTCACTGGGGAGGCTCCCCCAAGGTGTGGGAAGTACAATCAGCTCATGCCTATGCCAAAGGAATGAAAGTCAAAGGATCTTCCTCTCAGTCCAGATAGCAGGGAACAAGGTGGACAAAGATTCTTAAAATACAGATTTTTAAAAAATCCTCAAATTGAGAAGCATGGGCAATACACTTATATAGCAAAAAAATGAAGGAAAATAGGGTTTTCTGGTTTTGTTTTATTTTAACAATTGTAAGAACCATGCTGTAGAACTGACCATATACAGTGAACAGGTTTTGTGGCATATTTCTATCCTATTTCTATTTTGCTAACTGTAATCTTAATACTGTGATCCTAGACTCTTAAGCAAACCTCAAAAACTTTAAAAATTTGTTTGTTTTTATAAAAATTTACTCTTTTCCTTCCAGAAAAAAAAAAGTCATTATATACTGAAAACCTATCTTGGAGTATACTTTGGAAGACCAAGATACGCATTAGTACTTCTTAGAATATGTAACTCCTTATATGTCGTTTTAGTGGAGTTTACTCCAAAACATTCTGTTCTTCTCTGGTGAAGTGCCTCTGTGTCAGCCATATTTGCCAAATGTTCACAGTGGTCAGAGTATTCGCCAAAGGAGAAAGGAGTAGCTGTTACTGTACAAAGACACTCAAATTCTTTTCACTTAATTCTGCCTCTGGAAACAAAGATAAAAACTTTGATCCAAAAGGAAGAAAAATGAGAAATATTTTAAATGGGGAATAATGGTTAGCAGGAATAGTCACGGCATTTATGAAAGGAATTAAATTTAAATAACAACACATTCTCTTCTACCATTGTTTGCTCTATTTTGGCTTTTTTATTTCTCACCATTATATAAATCCAATAACACATTGCTTTGCCATATGTCTGTTTCCTTTAAAAAATGCCCACAGCCAATTGATGGGAAGTGCTGGCACCGTCCTGTCAAAGTGTTCTCATGGAATTTGGGGTCACTGGACATCAGCTCCTACCTGGGGTTTGATAGTTCAGTGAAACCATCTGGCAGCCAGCGTTCCAGAAAATCTGAGGCATGTAATTACTGGAATCGACTCGGCCTCCCTTGGGGTAAATGCGACTCATTTGCCGTTTGTTATAACTGTGTAACTTATTAAGGAAAACAGAAAAAAATAGTCCTACAGCAGAGAAAAATAAACAACAAAGAGCTAAAACAACAAAGGTCTAGGCCAACATTGACAAACAAGTAGACAGCACAGAGCAAATTTCACATTTACAAACGATGCTTAAGATCACAGTTCACTGTGTGGATTATAAAAACCATTTTCATTTGGGCAGATTGTCATGGCTGCCATAGTCTTTCACACATACTATTTTATTAACTCCACCACTAGAACGATATATTAGCCATTTATCTATTTCAGAGGCTCCTGCCAAATCAACGTTGAGTTACCCACTCATTCCACTTGATACATAAGGATACTTGACAAATTCAATTGCGTGTGTCTTCAAGTAGCCAAGACCGACTGATTCATTAAAAGAAGACATGTTGTAATGAATATTGCGTTCTGTAAAAGAAAAGCAAAGATGGACTCAGGAACCCTGCCATCAAACCCTCATCGAAAAACAGCAATAAATAAATATCATTACACCCTGAATCACGAGGCCTTGGAGGGTAATGCTACATTATCGTCAGTAGCTCCTACTTTCATTAACATCCTGTGGATAGAGACATCTGTCTTTTAAAAAAATGTACTGAATTAAATTGGGAATCATTAAAGAAATTATGTGTACCCGAATTGCCACAGCCACCCCTGAAATACAGATTTTTGACGATGATGATGATGGCTTCTCTAGCCCAGAAATGAAGTTTTTAAATACTTATGTTTTTGAAAACCAGCTTTTGATTAAAATAAGTCTTGTGAATGCACGTGGGAACAGAAGAGGCTATATGACCCACTGCTAACAAATCCATAGTCTCTCCGCGCCACCTTGTGGGTGATGTCAAGAATGACAACGTAATGTCACCACATACCAAGGACAAGTGGCTTCTACGGTCTGTGAAACAAAAATAGGGTGAGGTGGAACAGACCCCATGCCCACAAAGAAAAACGGCAACAAGTTAGATCAAAGCTCATCAGCACCATAAAAGAAAATCAGGCAAAAAAGGCGATGGCATTTAACCTTATGTGTTACCTTCTGCCACATTGAAACCTTGAAACTTTACAGGCTGGGCGTAGTTGATCATTGTGGACAAATATGGATGGATATTAGTGGTAGCACCTACATATTTATAAGATGCCATCCACGCCTGCTCATCTTCTACAGTGACCACGCCCTATAAGCACAAGGAAGAGAACATATAAGTTGATGACTTCAGTGGGACTCACAAACATGTGCTACAGATTTCCTTACTAAAGATAATTTACACACACACAAATTGAAAGGTAAAGACTTTTTCTTCCTCAATTTATACTAAAGGATATTTTAAGACGTTAGTGTCTGTTGTAGCTCTAAATAATGCAAAAGGAGATAATCATAAAATATTAAGCTTAAAAAGTATTATGCTTATCTTACATTTGTAGGACATTTTTAGATTTTTAAGGGACTTAAAATATTCAAGAGATTACCGGCTGGGAGCAGAGGCATACACTTGTAATCCCAGCACTTTGGGAGGCTGAGGCAGGTGAATCACTTGAGACCAGGAGTTCAAGACAAGCCTGGCGAACATGGCAAAACACCAATCTCTACTAAAAATGCCAAAAATTAGCCGGGCATGGTGGCGCATGCCTGTAATCCCAGCTACTTGGGAGGCTGAGGCAGGAGAATCACTTGAGCCCGGGAGGCAGAGGTTACAGTGAGCTGAGACTGCACCACTGAGCAGTCTCAGTGCAAGATAGTCTCAGGCAACAGAGCAAGACTCCACCTTAAAAGAAAGAAAGAAATTACTGTATTAGACCTCACAGCAATGCTACGAAGTAGATATGGCAGGTATTATTCATATTTTTACAAATTGAAGCACTATGTCAAAAATATTGACTCTCAAACTTTAGTGTGCATCAGAATCACCTGGAAGCCTTTTTTTTTTTGTTTTTTTCTTTGAGACGGAGTTTCGCTCTTGTTACCCAGGCTGGAGTGCAATGGCGCGATCTCGGCTCACCGCAACCTCCGCCTCCTGGGTTCAGGCAATTCTCCTGCCTCAGCCTCCTGGGCAGCTGGGACTACAGGTACGCGCCACCATGCCCAGCTAATTTTTTGTAGTTTTAGTAGAGATGGGGTTTCACCATGTTGACCAGGATGGTCTTGATCTCTTGACCTCGTGATCCACCCGCCTCGGCCTCCCAAAGTGCTGGGATTACAGGCGTGGGCCACCGCGCCCGGCCGGCTTTTTAAAATAAAACAGATTCATGGGCCCCATGGTCAGAGTTTCTGTTGAAGTCATCTGCAGTGAGGCCAGTCACTGCTGTAACTGGTTCCTAGGTGCTAACGATGCTGCCTCCTTGGGGACTATGCTTCACTGCAGCACTGCTCTAGAATGTAAGCCACATACATATGCGGCTTATAGTATATAAAAAAGTGCTTATTCTTAAAAGCAATCTAATAACCTGCTGCGTAGGACATGTTGAAATTGTATTACTTTGCATATGGAAAAAAGAAAACAAATTAGTTTATTTCTTGATAAATCAGAAAAAACAACAACAAAACCAACAACAAAAATAATGCCTTCAAAAGTGATCAATATTTTTGCTGAGAACTTTGCAAAGCTAAATTTTCTGCATAGAGTGAATCTAGCTGGATAAACTCTTCAGTTGCATGAGTTAAAAACTGTTTGTCTTAACTGATGACTTAATCTGAGCATTCTAAATTATCAAACTGATTATTTCAAACTGAAATAATCAAGTAATGTAACTTGGTTTTGCTTTTGTTTTTATCATTTTCATGTGTCCCTCCTGCTCCCCTACCAAACAAGCGCCATGTCCATTCCTTCCATGTGTGTTTAATGATAATAAATACCACCAAGTGCTATGTGCTGGGCACCAGGATGAATTCTTGCAGGCACGGTCTCATCACTCTTTGTGATGTGTAGTGGGGATTAGAGTCCTACCCACTGACCAGATGTGTAGATTGATGCCTTGAGAATTAACATAACAACTAAAAAATGGCAGTGACCAATGTCGATCTGTACACTGTTGACTCCAATTATGAATTATGAAATTCTAGGACAGGAGACAAAGTAATCACAAATATTTTGGGAGAGACTTGTGACCATATTTATTCATGATTCTTTCAAATTTAATATTTAGAGGGTAAGAAGACAGGATCTCAACTCCAAATAGGATAGGACTGACAGGTAGCAGGGCAGTATTTTCTGAAGCTCTGAAGTGTGAGAACCAAGTTATCAGGCAAACTTTTGCCGGTGGCTGTCAGTCTCAGTGTTGTAGGATAAACCATAAATACTTACTAAATAAGACCACTTTGATCATTATGAAGAACTTTGTAGAGGATGAAAGAAAGTGAAAATGTAACTTTACCTTCCCTACAATAAAGCCAGTATCTAATAACATCATATAATAATCCTAGAAGTTATGGAGTGTAAAATTAATCAATGATCTTCCAGAATGCCAATGTAGTGGGAACTAAGATCAACCTTTCTATTATGCTATAATATGGATTTGATGACCTATTAGCTCATTTTCATTTTCAAGTTCAATCTGCTGATGATCATGTAGTTCCAATGCAGGAATGAAATCTCTAATTCCAATGAAGAAAATGCCTTACTGCATTAAATACCTGCTTTTAGAAAAATCATCTTACTCACCTGCCCTAGTTTTATAATTTTATCAGGATTTAATCATTTTATCACCATGCTTAATTCCTTCCTTTGAAGATTTTTTAAATTAGATGCATCTAATTTAAATGTGCAAGGGAATTATTTTGTTACCTTTTTGTTGTTTTCATGTTCAAGGTCATCTGAGGCCTAATTAGAGAAAGGAAATAATTTATTTACTTCTCTAAAGGGCAAAATTCCAAATGTATTAGCCATACATACATAGATATTTAAATAAGCATAGGTGAACTTGTTACTCTATTTATTTGCTAAAATAGGACATTACTGATGACATAACATGGACGACCTCACTGTTTTATGCACCAGAAGGGCTAATCTTAATGCTCTTTCCCTCCTTTGTGGACAGTCTTTACCTACTTAGATGCTTTATTATAATTATTTAATTAGCGCTTTAGTCATGGGGCTTGGAAAATAAATAATCAATGTGGCTCCCTCCCCTGATCTGTAAGGGGCAGCAGCGTGAATGGTTACTCTCGAGTAACTCAGTATTCATGTCTGGGTATTTGCTACGGACTGAATGCTGGTGCAGCCTCCCCATACCCTCCCAAATTCATATATTGAAATCTGAATCCCCACTGTGATAGCCTTTGGGAGGTAATTCGGTTGTGAGGGCCAAGCCAAAAGAGAGCTTGCCTCCTTATTCTCTCTCCACCATGTGAGGACATAGCCATGAAGAGGGCCCCCTCACTAGGAACTGAGTGGGTGGCACCTTGATCTTAGGCTTCCCAAACTCCAGAATAGTAAGAAATTTTTTTGTTCTTTAAACTAATCAGTCTATGGTATTTTTGTGATAGCATTCCCAACTGACTACGACAGTACTGATGAAGCTTTAGCAACATTCTTTTTTTTTCTTTTTGAGACAGTCTCACTATGTTGCCCAGGCTGGAGTGCAGTGATGCAATCTTGGCTCACTACAACCTCACCTTCTGGATTCAAGCAATTCTTCTGCCTCCGCCTCCAGAGTAGCTGGGAATAGAGGCACATGTCACGGCACTCAGCTAATTTTTGTATTAAAACAATATTCTTGAGTCTTAGTAGGTGTTCAATATTCTCAAAGTAGTCACAATTCCTTATATCAGAAAAGGTAGGATGTAAAGACAATATGCCTTTGGCTTTGCTCATCAAACTCTCTCCCCTTTTCCTATCACCAAATGTATCTGCCTACCGGCATCTTCATCCACTGTCTTCACTAATTAGGTGTTCCAGCTCCTTTGAAGGGCCACACCTTTGCACCACAGCGATCCCACCCTCTTCCACCTTCTCAAGGAATTGCAGGCAGTTATCCCCTCTCTTTCCTGCAAAACTAATCTCTTCCTCTCTACTGCAACTCTTCCAAGTTTGCAAACACACTCCAGATTCATTCATCCTAAAAAGAAAACACTCCCTTGCTCCTCAGGTTCCCTTTGGCCACCAGTCCATTTCTTGCTCCCCTTCACAGCAAAACTTCTCAAAAGCATAGTCTCTACTCATTCATATCTGTGTGATCCAGTGTCACCACGTTGCCTGGCACTCCACTGAAACATCTCTTTAACGTTGCCAATGACCTCCATGTTAACAGCCCAGTGGACATTCTTGAGTCTTCTTACGTAGTCAGTAGCATTTTTAAAATTAAATTTAGCCCAAAGCTGTTTCTTTACATATTCTAATGGTTTCTCCACAAACTTTCACATAGTAAACTGTAGACTGAATGGATGTGTAAACAGACAGTAACCTACTCATGTGCCAATCACTGAGTTTCAGCCAATCGAAGGTGGCCAACTATTCAACCTCTGCTCAAATAGGGCAAATAAGGCTGTAACCAATCCAGCTGCTTCTGTACCTCACTCTGTTTTCTGTAGGTCACTTTCCTTTTTCTGTCAATAAATCTTCCACCACATGGCTTCACCAGAGTCTTTCTGAATCTCTTCTGGTTTGGGGCCTGCTCAATTTGTGAAATTTTTTTTTTCTCAACTAAACTCTATTAAATTTAATTTGTCTAAGGTTTTGTTTTATTTTACTTTGAGATGAAGTCTCGCTGTGTCACCCAGGCTTGAGTGCAGTGGCGCGAACTCAGCTCACTGCAACTTCCGTCTCCCAGGTTCAAGCGATTCACCTGCCTCAGCCACTTGAATAGCTGGGGTTACAGGCACCCACCACCATGCCTGACTTATTTTTTTTTTGTATTTTTAGTAGATACAGGGTTTCACCATGTTGGCCAGGCTGGTTTCAAACTCCTGACCTCAAGCGATCCGCCCTCAAGCGATCCACCCTCACTCAGGCCCTCCACTCTCGGCCCTTGCTGATGAGAATTTGTCTTGGCCTCCCATACTGCTAGGACTACAGGCATGAGCCACCATTCGTGGCCTGTCTAAGTTTTTTAACAGATTCCATGGTCAAACACTCGATCCTTCTGATAACACTGTTCTCTTTCTTGGCTTTCTTGGTGCCACTGCCTAATTTCCCTCCTACGTCTCTGGCTATAACTTGCTCTTCTTTTCTGGCTCCTCTCCTGTGAACCCACCTTTAACTAGTACTCCACTTGGGCCTTCTTTTCTGCCTCTCCCTGTGAATCATCTCAGTATTTCCACTGCTTCAAATGTGATCTCTTGAACTCCTAACTTGTAATTCTAGCTCAACCTGTCTTCTACAAACGTGTGATGATGACGCCAGTAATCATGAGGATAATGACAATGATAAAGATGAAAAGGATGATAATATACCAGCAACTAATACCTTTACGGGAGTTACCATGTGCCAGGCACCAAGCTAAGCTCTTGACATGTCACAAAACATCCACTCTTCACAGTGACCCCATGAAACAGGTGTTATCGTCTTCACTTTGCAGATGAGGAAACTAAGGTACACAGAGGTTAAGTAACTTACCCAAAGTTAGACAGTTAGGAAATGAACCCAGAGAGAGAGTCAGATGGCAATGCTATATGAACACCTCCCCTTGAATACTTCACAGGCATCTCAAATAGTCATCCCATTTGAAACTCGAGTTCTTTCTCTTTCGGTCTTCCCCATGCCAGTAATGGTACCACCACCTATCCAGTTCCTCAAACAAGGACACTCGAGGATCATCTGACTTCTTCTCTCTCCTTCATTCCCACATTCCATCCATCAGTAGGCTGTCCCATTACTCAACATGTCTTGAAGCCACTTAGTCCTCTCCGTACCCATTGTCTGGTTTGACCATCAGGGACTCTTGTCTGGCCTAGAGCAGCAGACTGTCTCACTGATTTTTCCTGCTCCCACTCTTGTTTCCTAAACTGGTGCCCATATGGCAATCACAGCAATCTTTTAGAACTTGAATCAGGTTACACTGCCCCCTTCTCTAAACTTTTCTAGTAGTGTCACATTTCACTTAATATTTGAATTTCTCATAATGGCCTCCCAAATCCTGTATCACCCAGTTCCCACATACCTGCCCCATCTCATCTTTCCTCACTCCACCCTCATCGAGCCCTCTACTTGCAAGCCTTCCTGTAGCTTTTGAGGCCCCTCCTCATGGAAAGTGATTCCTCTATCTGTGCGTGGCCAATTCTTCTTGCCCCTTTGCATTCTGGTTTCCTTATTCCTTCTACTTCATTATTCTCTAACACTCATGTTTATGTTTCATAGTTGCACTTATCACAAGTTGTAATTATGTAGTTATTTGGCTACTTGCTTGTTTGCTGTTTCCTGTCCCTTTCCCTAAGCTACAGGGGGCCATGAACTGCCTAGGGGCTGAAGGCAAGAATGTTTTACCCTTTTAGGTCATGTGGCCTAGACTATGCCTGAGAAAAGGTAAGTACAGGAATAACTATTTTTCTTGGCTGAATGTTTGGAAACATTTTTATGCTTAAAGTCTACTTTAGGAGGAAGGATTATAATTAGCAGGACTAGTTCTCGAATGAGGGCTGGACTCGGGATGTTCAGGGGTCATTTTCCTGATGAATTCAAGATTAAACCTTACCACTGGGACGCTGTTGTTGCCTCCCACCCCAGCTATGATAACACAATAAATGATAATATTTAGAGAACATTGGCCAAATGGGTAGTGTTTAACACTGGCCCTAATGAGTAATTAAAATGTCCTTTTAAACTTAATGTTGTGTATGTGTCAAATTCTGGTCACCCAGCACAGATTTGTATCCTAAGCAATTTAGATGGGAAATTACAGGTGACTTTATTCTCTTGTGGTTTTCACATTTCCAAGATTTCATAAATAACAGCTGCTACCTCTTGAAAGTGATGAAAGAAAGGGGACTCTGACCTTCTTGACGCTGTTTGCAACAGCTTCCTTGTGACCCAAGTCATCAGCAGAAAGTTCATTTCCAAATTTGAATTCGGGGTGAGCTTCCTCTTCTTGGTCAGCTGTGTGAAAGACAAATGGAAAATCCATGACGCCAAACCACTGACAAGTAGTCAGACCTTGTTCACAATCTTGGGTAGAACATAAGCACTTTTAGAGAAAAAGGATGCTAAAAGAAATTGGGGACATTTAAATTTGCAGTATTTTTTCAAGTAAAACTCTCACTAAACTCTTCCCTATTCAAGGTCAAGGAGCACATCTTGTTATGTATTATGTCTCCTGCGCCTAAAATGTGGTTTGACATGCTTGATGCTTAATAAATTTTTCTTAAGTGGATAGCTACTTCTATCCTAGCACACTAATTCTAAAAATGAAAGCCTCAAACATTGCAGAAATATGTGACTCATTAAAGGGTATTTTGATCTTTCATGACATCTAGAGAAAATAGGAAGATACAGAAAACAAATACATTGGATAATTTTGAAAGACTAAAATGTGCACTTGAATTTTATGGGCATAATGATGTATAGCCTGGAGTGGTATAAAAAAAGAAAGGCCTCAGAAGGATTGTACTACTCCTGCAAACTATTTGTCAAACCTAGCATAGGCTTCAAAGTCTCAGGGCTCATTTGTCAGGCTCAGGTAGGAGGAGAAGTGGAAGTGGGGGCCAAATAAAACTGGTGTCCCTGGAGCATGGTCTAGTCAGTGAAAGAAAGCACACACACTGTGTTCACTGGTCCAGGAAAGTGGTAAGGGTGCCAGAATACGTCTTAAAATAATTGAATCCAGCATCTGCCTTTACTTATACTCTTAAAATAATCTAATCTAGCATCGGTCTTTATAAATGAGGAAACAGATGCAGAGATATGATTTGACTTGCCTGAAATCACAGAGCAAGATAATGGATCCACCTGTCTCCCGAATTCTTAGCACAATTCTTCCAGGACTAGGTTTCCATGACCTACAGTCTGTAACCAAGATTTTGAAACTTCTCATGTCACTATTAAATTTTCATTTCATTTACATCTAAACTGCCCATACAGATATAAACTAATTGAAGGCAAGGGGCGTGCCCCAAACAAGTGGTAGAGACTTAATAACTATTTTAATAGAATTGTATGAATACATGATCCCTTCCTGAGTGTGTGTGTGCGCACGGACATACCTATAACCACACACAATTTTGACATTCCCCACTGCTTGTCGCCTATCCTGGGAGCCATGTGTCCTGAATCTAAATCCAGCCTAACGCCTGAGCACCTGCTTTCACTGACTGAAAGCCTTTTCTATTTTCTACAGCCTCCGGGCAGGCCTTCCCTCTTCAACTATGCTTGATTTCCTCTTGCCTGCTGTGTTGATGTCTTTAAATTAGAGACTCTAGTCACATATGTATAGTAGATTCATACATTAGCACTAAGGTAATTATAGCCAATGCGTTGACCAGAACCAAAGCCACATATTACTGAGGCAACCTAAGAATCATACACGTAACAGGTGTAACAGGAGCCTTGTGCCATTCAGGTGGATGATTCTGTCCTTAGGTACTTTCCTACTTGTATACTAAATAATCTGGTTATTTCTGTTAAAACTTAGCCAAAATCTCAAGTATATTTTGGAATAAAATGGGAATCACTAGAGGCAAATATTTTTCTGCCTGGAGGAATAATTAACAAATGTGTGTAGATGGTGGGAAAGTACCTTTAAGAATAATACATAAAGTCATACTAACGCTCATTTTAGATGACGTTGTGTGTTTAGGAAACATCACATCTTTGACTTTCATGAGTTATATTCTTTATCCTTTTAAAAAAAGTATTTTTGCGTATCTATGCTTTTAGCATATTCCTGTAAATTGAAAGGGCAGTACTATAAGGTATAAAAAGTCTTGACCTTGGAATCAGGTAACTCTGGGATTGAATCTTAGGGCCACTGCTTGCCAGCTGTGAGATCATGCACAAAATATGTTTCCCCTCTAAGCTTCAGTTCCCGCATCTGAAAAACTGGTGTAGGAATACCTATTTCATCAGGCTGTATAAAGATTAGATAAGGCTCTAATGTAAGCTGCCTGGCCCACTGGTTGGTACGATAGTAGTAGTTATTATTATTAACACTGTTTTCTTGTTAATTTATTCCATTATTTCTGGATTTTGTTTTACTGGATTATTGGATCAGTAATGCCTTAAATACTTTAATTACCATCTATGAAATTTAACTTAAATGAAAGGAACTGGTATTACTGAGTAGTCATCTTTTTTTACATCTTAGGAGTACTTTCTTGATTGTTTGAAATATATTTCTGTTGATATGTTTTTCTTAAATCTTGTTTAGGTTTGTTATTTGCAAAAATGTGAAAAAATATAGTAGGCATCATGGCTGACTATATTTTCCAAAGACAGCAGCCATAACATCCTCCCTCCTCTGTGCTCTTATACAACGTCACCTTGTCACTCACTCACCCCCTTGAACTTTGATGGGCTCTGAGACTGCTTTGATGAATAAAACATAGAGGAAGTGATACTGTGCAGCTTCTGCTTCCTGCCTCTTGGGACACTGGCTCTTAGATGTTCCATCCAGGGGACTTAGCCATTGTGTTGTGAGAAGTCCAAACCACAGAGAGAGGCCACAGGGGTACTATGGTCAGTAAGGCCCAGCTGTGCTCCCAGCATTCAGCCAGCATCCACTGCCAGCATGTGAACGAGCCATCCTGGATAACCCACCCAAGGGAAGCTGTCAGCCCCAGATGTCATCTGCCAACAAAAGCATGAGAAATCCAAGGGAGAACCACCAACCTGAGCCCAGATGACTCACAGAATTATGACGGAAAATAATAAGGTGTTGTTATAAGCTTCTAAATTTGGGAATGGTTTATTGCATAGGAACAAATGACCATAACAAGTATCAACTGAGTACTGTCAGGTATCTTTAGCTTTCTAGACCCTCCCTGCCATATGAAACGAATTAAAGTATAGTCATTACAACTATTCTCTGGGAGTAATGTCAAACCCATGGATTAGACATGCAACTGAGTCACTTATAAAGTCTGTTCCACAGTCAGGAGTCTTTTAAGGCATCCTGAATCAGCTTAGTTAATTCTTCCAGCTTTTGGATGTTTAGCTCTATGTCTAACTTTCCTAAAAGAGAGAGCCCTCTCCACGGATCTGGGTGAAGAAAACTGAAAAGCTTCTGGTGTTCACCATTCTAAATGCCATTAAGAACATTCACAGTTTACGGGAAGAGGGAAAAATAACAATGTTCACAGGAGTTTGGAAAACTCCCATGGATGATTTCAGTAGAGGAAGTCACTGCAGAGGTGGTAGAAAGAGTAAGAGAACTAGAATTTGAAGAGCAGCCTAAACATGGGTTTGAATTGCTGCAATTTCTGAATTGCTGCAATTTCATGATGAAATAAACAGATGAGGAGTGGTTTCTTATGAATGAGCAAAGCAGGTGGTTTCTGAGGTGGAATCTACCACAGGTAAAGATACTGTGAACATTGTTAAAATGACAACAAGGAATTTAAAATATTATATAAACTTAGTGGAGAAAGCATCACAGCAGGGTTTGAGAGGATTGACTTCAATTTTGAAACAAGTTCCACTGTGGGTAAAGTGTCATCAAATAGCACTGCATGCTTCAGAGAAATCGTTAATGAAAGGAAGGGTCAATTGATACAGCAAACTTCACTGTTGTCTTATTTTTTAAAAAATTGCCACAGCCACACTAATCTTTGGCAACTACCTCCCTGATCACTCAAAGCAAGACCCTCCACTAGCAAAAACATTTCAATTTGATGCAGGTTTACAAAATTGTTACCTTTTTTAGCAATAGATATTTTAAAATTAAGTTATGTACATTTTTGGACATAATGCTATTATTGAACACTTACTAGCTTACAGTACAGTGTAAATGTAATTTCTATATCCGCTGGGAAACAAAAATTCTTGTAAGTCACTTTTTTGCAATACTTACTTTATTGTTGTGGTCTAGAACTGAATCTGCAGTATTTCCAAGGTATGCCTCTATATAAATCCAAGGTATTGTGTAACCAATGCAAGTCTTAGTCATTCTGTTCATCAATTCTCATCACATGTAATGAACAAATAATTCTCTAAAATCATCCCCAAACTCTCAAATGGCCCATTTACAACTTAACATTATGATTGTTGCTATGTGATCAAAGTAAAAGAGAAGGTAATAGCACATATTGAAATATTTTAAGCAAGACTGCCTTCCTAAAATTATCTAGCAGAACAGAGATAATTCTGGTGAGCTGGTTAACTGTAGGAATTTGAACTTGAAATTTTAATACTGGCTTTGAATTTCTAGTTCACTTTTTGCAGACAAACCAATCATTTGCCTCAGGGTCTCTTACATTCCTTGCCTATCTACTGTCATCATTAAACAAGACTGAAGTTCATGCTTTTGTCTATAGAAAGGGATTACAAAATGTTCTTTATATTCCTTCCTCTGCCCACGACAGCAAGTGCTTCAAGGATTCTCTGGCTATGAATTTCTGCTGAATAGCTGAATGACCAATAGGAAGGGAGATGACAAAGCTATTAATATTTAGTGGCTAGAAACAATTGGAAGTATTTGGCAAAATACTAAGAATACCAAAATATGACTATTAAGAATTAAAACAGCATTATTATATAAAAGGGTCTTCTGAAAGAAATTCCCGGTTTTCTTACCCATTTGTTTCTGAAACAAAGTCTCAGTTTGTTGTCCAGGCTGGAATGCAGTGGTGCGATTACAGCTTACTTCAGCCTTGAACTTCTGGGCTCAAGGGATCCTCCTGCCTCAGCCTCCCCAATAGCTGGGACTATAGACAAAAGCCATCATGCCTGGCTAATTTGTTTTAATTTTTTTGTAGAGATGGGGTCTCATTCCTAGAAAAATGTTGCCCACACTGATCTTGAACTCTTGAGCTCAAGTAATCCTCCCACCTCAGCCTCCCCAAGTGCTGGGATAATGGACTTGAGCCACTGTGCCCAGCCTGTTTTTCTTATTTAAAAAGTATTTTTGAAGCATGTAACTTAAAAAAAAAAAAAAAAAAAAGCAAACAGCTCACCACTTTCGATCTCCTCTTCATTATCATCCTCTAAGATGTTTGCTGGGGAGGCAGCTTCCCCAGCTTCCATCATGCTTCTCAAAGCTTCCAGCTGTTCTGTAAGCAAAAACATGCAAAGAGGTGGTGACGGATGCTAGGTAATGTACAAACCCTAGGCCTTGAGACCGACACTGAGAAGGAGGACACGAAAAGGGAGAGAAAATAGATTGTTCAGGCACCAATGCGCCACGTTCCTACAATTCAGCAGTGATCGCTCTCTCACCCATTCCTGGTGGTCTTGACCTTGTAAGAAACCTGCATCTACCACCTTATATACACAGGATGAAGAACTGCTGGGTGAAATGCCCAAAATTCTGGTCACCAGGTTTGAGAGGAGTTTCAGTCTTTGTGAAGGATTTAAGGCTAGATAACAAAAGCCCATAATTGGGAGAATCTGGCACAGACCAAGGTTTATGAACAGTCATGGGGAACTGACAGAAAACAGACAAGCAGGTCGGCAGTGAAACTTCAGGAAAAAATATTTGCAACTGATTTAACTAGGATTATATCCTACTAGGCAAAATAAGATTAATATTCTTCTTAGAAGTCAGAAAGATAAACAAAATAATAAAAATGGGAAAGCATGTAGGGACAAACCACAAATAATAATATGCAAAAAACTAGTTATTAAAGACATACAAATAAAAAAAACCCTAAGGTACCCTTTTTTTTTTCTTCTATGAGTTGGACACACATTTAAAAATGGGCAACAGCCAGCACTAAGGATATTGGTGGGAAACAGGCACTCTCATATATGACTGGTGAAAGTCTAAGCTGGTACAACTTCCCTGAAAGAAAGCATAACAAACTGTATCACAATATAAAATATGTATATGCTTTGGGCTGCATAACTCTAATTGCACCAATTGATTCCAAGGAGAGGGTTGCACAAACATACAAAATAACATTCAAGCTTGTTTATATCAGTGAAAAATCCATCAACTTGGGACTGGTTAAATCATGCTATAATAAGTGCATACAATTCTATGTAATACATATTAAATTTTGCATAGTGTTTCATACATTAGGATTAAAGTTAATGTGTAGATTTATATCCTGCAAATGCAAGTATACTTAATTGGTTATGTTTTAAAAATTAAAAATCAATATAGTTAATATAATCTCAGTTATGTTAATAATGTGGGTCTACATCTAAGCATGTACATTACATACGTGTATCTATAATATATGAATATGTGTATAATACATGTTAGTGCTTTTTTACATTTTTCACTGTCTTGATTTTTCTATGGCATTATTGCTTTTGTGATAAAAATAAACTGTCATTAAGATACTTTAAAAATTTTCATTTAGAATACTTGGGGGAAAATGCAGTGCAATCATGAATATTTGATACTATTAATTCAGTGAACTAAGATATACTCTGAAAGAAAATATTTTCAAGGAAAACATCCTGGGAGAATAAGAGAAAACATGTCTATGTAAAATCATTTGTCTCTCGATCTCTCTATTCACACATATACACAGTCACACATTCTCATATGTGTCTAGTATCCCCAGATATGTATGGAGCACAGGGGCAAACTGAAAAGGAAAATTTTTGAGGACTTTAGGGTGTATAAAATCATAAAATGCTGGTTCCTTATATCTTGAGAAATTCTAAAATGTGTCTTCTACTTTCCTCTCAATTTTCCTTGGGCCCCCTCCAAATTCTGGCATATGAATTTATAAATATGCTTTTCCCACTGCATGAATTAATTGATGCCGAAATTAGACTTAAATTGAAATGTGGCAACCTTGCTCTGAAAAGTACCTGTAACATCAACCCTACACCCTTCCCCCCAAAATCAGTGGTTTTAAAATAACTTTAATTCTAAACAGCTGAAATGTCCACATACATTATATAGTATGCTTCCATTATATATGTGTGTATTTCACTTACTTTTTTCAACTTCAGGTTTCAGCCGCTTGTTTTTTATGAGTATTTTTCTTTTGAGGTCATTGGGGGATGGCAAAGGCCTGCCTGGTTCGAGCTAGAGAGAAACAGGAAGAGCTGAATTAAGGAAGGGCTGTGCTTCTCTATTCTCCTTCCCAGCCCAGGAGGAGCCTAGGAGGCCTGGGAGTGATGCAACCCAACATCCACTAGATGGCAGGCAGCACAGCCTTCCGTTTTCATTTCCCAAATTAGCACACCCATTCAACTTTCCCTTAAACTAGCGCTGCAAACTTGAAATCCACATAGTTTCCAGAAGTGTTGCAAAGCTGCTCCAATCTCCCCAGTGGAGCAGGGGAATGGCCGGGGATATGCGGGGGAGGGGTTCCTGCTCCCTTGAAGGCCTTGCACCTTTTAAGTATCTGGTAAAGTTCAAGGGACAATTGTGACAGCTGGGGCCAGAACTGGCTTTCCCAAGTGAGAGGGCCCCCCAGGTGTCAGGCTGTACAGTAAGCCTAACTGCTTAGTAGGCTGACCCAACCCTCAACACTTGACATTGTGGTTTTGTGGGTTTGATAAGAGAATCAAGAAGGGAGTTGTTCCAATTACTGGAATCTAAACTTGACTATAGCATCATTTGCTTAGATGTATATCTGCAAAGGAGGTGTCCCTGTATACTACCACTTCTGATCTACATGGTTCTGTAGCATACAGGGACACCTCCTCTGCAGATAGTCATCCAACTAGACAGTCGTCCACTCCCCATTCCTCTACCCATCTCTATATATACTCACCCACATACCCTTCCACCCATCCATTCATTTTCAAAACTTGCTTTTACACTGCTTATTATATGTAAGGCACTGCCCACTTATAAGTCTGTCTTGCCTCAAATAAAACCGTTTGTTGAAATGCTGTTTCCTTCCAGCAGCCTGGTATAACTGGCCGATTCCACAGTGATCTCTCTTGTAACAGGACACCTCCAACAAATAACGCATCGCAGGCCATCATCTTTTCTAGTTATGTGTTCACATTCGTGTCTTGCTCCTACTCCCAAGGTTGAAAGCTCTTTAGCTCCAGGAGCAGGTCTTATTCCCATTTATGTTACCTATGCTTCCCAAACCACCTGTCCTGTATTCAAAAGAGAATTGGGTCTGGAGGGAGGGAACATAAGGCCTATTCATGCTGACTTCTTAGAACTAACTCAAATGGAAACATTTAGGCTATGACAGGAAATATCCTCTCCATTTACATAGGATGTACACCGAGTAAATGACTTTGTAACTTAACTTTATCCTATTCATTAACATAGGGTGGACACCAACTAACCAATGGAAACCTCTAGAGGGTATTTAAATCTCAGAAAATACTGTAACGGGGCTCTTGAGTCCCTATGCTTGGGCTGCTCCCACCCCATGGAGTGTACTTTCATTTTCAATAAATCTCTGCTTTTGTTGTTTCATTCTTTCCTTGCTTTGTGCATTGTGCCCATTTTTTTGTTTAAAATGCCAAGAACCTGGACACCTTTCAACTGGTAACAGTATATGCACATCACTTCACTAAGAATATAGTGATCTCTCTACAAAAGCAATCCCCTTAACCTAATTAGGAAAATAAATAGAGGGCCTAGGTAAAAACAAATAAAATAAATCAGAGCTGTTCCTTAGATTGGGTTCCCTTAGAATCAGCCTCAGAGACAAGAATTATTAAACCAGGTAGTCTACTTTGGAGGAAACTCCAAAGAGGTGTAGGAAAGTGAGAAAAAGAAGACAGGCAGCCCATCAAGGGTGTGTTACCGAGCAACTTATCACTGCAGCCAGCTGGAGTGTGATCCTGCTGGGAAACCCTGGAAGGCAGCGAAGAGCAGGTGCTCAGGGTCATCCCACCTCGGAGGGAGGGAGCATGGAGTGGGGGTGGTAATACTCTGGCCTGCTGGTCTATCTTTCATGTGTGGCAGAGCAGGCTCCAGTGACCAAAGCTCACTCTTAGGCAAAAGGCTACGGATGTTAACAGTGGAAAGTCAGGCCAGTGTGCCGGGAAACAGAAGGCACTGCAAGGATATGGGCAGGTCTCCTGCGGCAACTGCTTCTGCAGGTTCAAGAGAAAATGGAAGGTGGAGGCGGGGCCAGGATACAGTTATCCTTGCCTCCTATATTTTTTTTAATACACTTCTAAAAAGAACCTCATTGTTAAAGCATGCAAAGTGTTTACATGTAGCACAAAGCACCTTCCTGCTGTCATTTGCTGTGATGTTCTTCTGCCTCTACCTCATGCTACCTGATTGGGGCCCATCAGGCGCTGCTTGTCAATAGCAGGGCATTCTACCTTGATTTCCTTGGCTGTCTTGGTGCTCATAACGTCTTGCGACTGTGCAGCTTAATCTCTTGGAGATCATGGATCCTTATAAAAATGTGATTAACTCTCTACAATGAGTATATTCAAAAAAATTGCATGCAATTAAAATGAATTCATAGACCTCATAAGGCCTATCTATGGAGCACAGGTTAATGTCCTTCGCTTTATGAAAGAATTAGTAGGTATAAAACGAAGTTCAAAGTATGTGTAACATTGCCCAACTGTGTATTCTGGACTTAGGAACGTGTGCTTCAGGATGGCTTGACATCGATTCGGGGCACTTTCCATATCACCAGGCTCCCATGGGTTCTGAATCCTGGGTGCACACTCAGTTCACCGGGGGGGGGGGGGGGGGTTGCTTTTGAAACACCATGCTCAGGCCTGGCCCTGCATCAATTAAGTCAGTCTCTGAGTGGGGCCCTGGCACAGGTGTTTCTAACAGTTTTGCAGGTGATTCTAACATGTAACTGAAGTTGAGAACAAGTGACCTCAATCTGGACTCGGCCTGGGTGCTTTATGAAATTTGAATACTGAGATCTGAAAAACCATAAGGCCCAAAGATCCTTCAAATTAAATTGAACCAGATGTTTATTTACATCCCTCTGAAGCACGATGTAAGCTTTCTGTACCAAAAAAGTTAAATAAATATGAAGATCTTTAGCATTAGTCCTCCAGTACTACTTGATCCTTCAGAAATTTAAAACAAATCCATTCATGCTGGAAATATGGTTTGCTAAAAATACATACTGGATGTGATTCAAGTGCTTGTTTCAGCAGGAGATCCCCAAATAGATCTTCGCAATATTTGGACATCTTGTACTGTTGATATTTGCTGGAGAGAAAAAAGTGGCATTTGTAAATGTGAACACCCATTAGCCATCCAAGAGTAAGAAACACCCATTCCTAGGCAATTAAAGATTCTCACTCGGCATCATGCATGATTGTCCTCTTAATGCTAATGTGAGATGTACCACAAACTTTAACTGGTTTAACTGGTATAATTTTAAAAGAAGGAGAAAGAGAGTCTGTTCCAAAACAAAGAGCTGGAAAGAAGAATAAAAAATGTCTTTCAAGTTAATCAAATCTGACTTCAAATACACTGCCAAATCTTCCAACTCAGTGGAACTTTAAGGTGTCCCAATCTCTGAGCTTTTGTTCGGAACAAGTATTTCTAAAACACATTAAAATGATTTGGTTTGGGGGAGAAAGGGTGGCTTTGCTTTTGTTTTCCTTTTCTTGTTGTTTTTTGCTTTGCATAACAGTAGGTATCCTTGCAGGATGATTATTTGAACTTAGTACTTCACAAAACAAACTATTCAGCTATTTAAAAAGATGTAGAGCAGGAGTGGGCATTAGCGATTAGGAAACAAGACCGCATAGAGACTTGCAGCAGAATGGATCATTGTACCTGCAGTGATTTTCAAAGGAGAGAATTACAGGATATTCTGAAGTGACAAACGCAGTTTCCTTGATGGCTTGAATTACATCCTTTAAAGACAAAAAAATGCTAATAAGAAAAGAGCAACAAAATTAAGGCACCTAAAACTATTCAGAAACTATTATTTTCGTCTTTCAGAAATTCAATTCTAGCAATTCAGACCTGGAGCATCCATCTACCTTGATACCTCTACAAGTTGAGTCTCCTGTAGTTACAACCAGGGTGCAGTTAATGGCTAATGATAATTTTTTAAAGCTATATTTTACTTCTCCAGCATTATGGTGCTATTAATGTACAAAAGATTTCACCTAAATGGCATGTCAGTTTCTTGCTTGTTAATCTGCCATGCCAGGAGTTCAGAGTCCACCTTTCTCCTTTGGGAGCGGGTGATCTCTCGCACGGAGGTTTTCACTCCAGACTACTGTATGACTCCTCCCCACCTAGTGCAGAAAAGTGTGGACAGTAACCTAAGGATTGTTGGAGGCTTTTACTGACTTTCCTATGTGTTTGGAAATCAGTCCTGGGCTATATTTCATTAACTTGATATAGATCTCTGTGCACTAATGTGACATTTGCAGTATCCCTTTTTTCATTGGGGAAGGGGTTCTAGTTGGTCAAGCAACATGTAAGTAAAAGAGAGAAGTGTTCTGGACCCCTCATCTATAACACAGAGCTTAATTACAGAAAGCAACATTTGAAGGAGCTGAACATAATCTTCCCTTTCATTATTCTCCATGAAATAGGAGAGGCATTAGATGGTTGGCCCCGTCTCTGCTTAGCTTTAGAAAGGCTTCAAACCAGCACTTCTACAATAAGACCATCATATTCGGTAAAAATCCCCAAATTCTTGCTGGTTTGTAGCTAATTAAAGGAAAAATCTCATCATTCAGTTAATCAGAAAGATATTTCACAATAATTATGTAGGCAAATCCATTTGAAATGATAAAGCCCAAGTTTAGATAATCTTGAAATATTTTATTGAGACATTCCTTATGGCTGAGGTAGTCATTTAGTTATTCTTCCAGGATGTGCAAATTCATGGCTTCCCACTTGAATATATTCTTGGTACTTATCAGGAAGAATAATCTTGAATTCATTGCTGGTCAAAACTCTCCAACATCCTGGCTAAGAGAAATGCTATGCATAGTATTTAGGCATCTGTGGTTTTTGTTTTGTTTCATTTTTTGGAGACAGACTTGTTCTGTTGCTGAGGCTGGAGAGCAATAGCATGATCTGGGCTTACTGCAACCTCTGCCTCCCAGGTCCAAGAGATTGTCCTGCCTCAGCTTCTCAAGTGGTTGGGATGACAGATGCATGCTACCAGGCCTGGCTAATTTTTATATTTTTAGTAGAGACAGGGTTTCATCATGTTGGCCAGGCTGGTCTCGATCTCCTGACCTCAAGTGATCTACTTGCCACCGCCTCATAAAGTGTTAGGATTACAGGTGTGAGCCACCGCCCCCAGCGGAATCTGTGTTTTTGAAAATACCCATGGTGATGTTTCACATGTAAGTGGAGTTGAGAACCGCTGCTCCTAGTGCTATAATATCTATCCTGAGTTACACCAAACTGACAGGCAGCTGTACTTGACATTTGTCAGCTACAGAATCTCATTTTTTTTAAACTTGTCTAACCTCATTCTCTTATTCTCTTATTCTTATCGGCCTTTTTACAGTCTATTTTATTCTCTGTGTTCTATTTATCTTTTTATGCCACCTTGAAGTCCTTTAGGAACAATGAAAAATGAATAAGCAAATAAGTAGATAACAAAAGGAGAGGCAAGTAAAGTAAAACTAGGTAAGTAAAACTAGGTAAACACTGCCAGAGAAACCTTGTTGCATAATACAGTCACCATTTGAAAGCAGGAACAGTATCATTAAGGGGACATTAAGTGGAAAAGATCTTTGTCTTGACTTTTTCAGCAAGACTGAAAGAAGGGAAATGAAGGTACAATTCTTGAGAAAATGAATCATTTGTTTTCTCTTCTCCATCTCCCTATTTCCTGCATTTTCACAGAGTTTGAAGAAGTCTGTGTAATTTTAAAAGTTACCTTAAAAAGGATATCTGTACACATTGCTTTTCCATGAGTTATTATTGGTTCTTGGTCTTCACCTTTTCCATCCCAGCAGTCAAGTTCAACACATCTAGGGACATAATTAAGTTACAATATTGAAACTACAATAAAATAGTATGTATACAAATTTTTAAAAAGACATCAAAATCAGTTTTTTTTTTCTTACAGAACAGAAAATTGAATAAATTAAATAACATGATTATTTCATGGCATATATAGGTTAAAACCACATTATGCTTCTCATCAGGTTGGTATTATCATAAAGGGATCGTCTGAGTGAGATTAAGAGATTTAAGAAATGCAATAAGCATCACAGTTCTGGATGAAATCCTACTTGTGACAAAGCTGCAATAAAGGACACTTTGAAGGCTGGGCATGGTGGCTCATGCCTGTAATCCTAGCACTTTGGGAGGCCAAAGTGGGCGGAGTTGGAGACCAGCCTGGTCAACATGGTGAAACCCCGTCTCTACTAAAAATACAAAAATTAGCCAGGTGTGATGGCATGTGTCTGTAATGCCAGGTATTTGGGAGGGTGAGGCCTGAGAATCGCTTGAACTCAGGAGGGGAGGTTGCAGTGAGTCGTTATCATGCCACTGCACCCCAGCCTGGGCAACAGAGTAAGACAACATCTCAATTTTTTTAAAAAAAAGACAATTGGGAAACAACTGGGAAAATATGAATGTGGACTGGGTTTTACATGACATTAAAATTACTTTTAAGTTTGATAGGCTGGATGATGTTACTTTGGCCATATCAGAAAGTGTTTAGTGATTCATACTCAAGTATTCAGAGAAAGCATGTGAATGGAAGTAGTGACATAGTTAATTTCTTCTAACATATCTCCATACACAAAAAGTGACTTAAAAACAAAAGGTATTGTTTAATTGATAACCAAGAAAAAAATCATAATGTAACTACATTTCTTATTTTTCACTTTCATCATTTTTTCCATTCTTTAAAGCTCAAATATTTTGCCAGTTTCTGTAAAACAAAAACCATTTTCAATAATTTCTAATGTCAGAGAACTAAATTTTTGAATTTTTACATCAAATAAAGCTAGTTTACAAGTGCCCTTTAATCAATAGTCAGTTAGCTCAATTGGTTAGAGCATGGTGTTAATAACAAGTACCTATAATCAACAAAAAAACTCAGCATGCCCTCTTACAATATGCATGTTTTCTTTTTTTGTGGTTTTGGGAGTCATATTTTAAATTTGCAGTAAAGGAAAGTCTTTTTTACAGTAAAGAAAAGTCTTTTGGATGATTGTAGATTTTTCTGGAAGGAATACTGTCCTTCTTTTCTCAAGGTTAAATGACCATGATAATCCATTAAAGGGTATAAACAAATGTCCTTTTCATCCTAATTACTATTTCCTACTTTTTCAGTGAAAAGTAAATTAAAATGAAGAGCATCATACATGAAAAACAAATTGCTATCTTGAATTCCTCACCTGCAACCAGCCAGGAGAACCTGTCTGTACATTTCTACTGAAGACTTCCCGCCGAACTGTCTGCCAGTGAGATAAGTGTTATGGGAAGAACTGATGAAGTAGTGAGCCAGAGGGTGGTCCATTTCTTGGTAAAGTTCTAAACGATCTAGGAAGACTGGGGCATTTTCATCTGACATCAGATATCTGCAAAACCCATCACTTGATATAAGGCCTAGGGAAAAAAGAACATATTAGTAGCACTTGTAGCTCTGAAGATGCACATCTCTTGTTTCATTCGTGGAAGCTGAGGCAGCTTAAATTAGAAGAGTAAAAACTTTTTCATAGTCTCTTTCCCAAGGAACTTCATCTGTCAGAACTTGAATGAAATAAGAGAGTTACATATTGTAAATAACATAATGAATTCCATGAACAGGTGGCATTCTGCTTTTACATCCACATGGCAGATATACATGGTCCCTCAAGTTCAGAAACACAGCACAGGGAGCTATGACCAGGGGTCTGGGGGACCCATATCAAGTTCTGCTCCTGCCACTCACTCCTTTGTCTCCTGGATCTCAGCTTCTCCTTCTATCAATTGGAGAAAAATACTGGCCCCGGCTGACTTCCAAGATCATCATAATGGGAAATGAGAATAGATATGAGAGGTGATCTTTAAAAATGGAAAATGTATTAATTGTAAGACATTGTTGTTCTCACTGAATTGGAAAAGGGATTTTTCTTAGAGATGATGGCACCTCTGAATTTAAATAATTGTTTTCAATTTTATCTAAAAGTCAGGATATGGGACTTGTGAGAAGAGTATATAGTGGTCATTGAGATGTGGCCCCAAAAGCTACCCTGCATTTCAATCACACCTTTCTGACACGGGGTAGGGCTCATGTGGTAACTACAGGAGCAACAATCAATATTTATGCAACTTACAAATGATTGATGCATTGACAACCTCGGCTTTTTGTTTTACTTAAGCCCTTGCAAGTTATGAACTGATCTCAAGCTTAGAGAAGTGTATAGATGATAGCATAATGAACAGCCACGGGCCTATACCAGTGTGGTCAGATCTCAACATTTTGCCTTATCTGATTTACATTTCTTATTATTTGATTTACATTTAAAATAATACATAATTCCTGATGCCACTGCAGCATCCTGTGTCCCCACGTCACTTCTGTTCCATACCAGATAGATAATCACTATCCTAGTTTTGGTGTTTATCCCCAAAATGGTTTTGCAACTTTATTACATATGCATTTACCCAAACAACAGGTAGTTTGGACTGTTTACAATTTTATGTGAAAGCTATCATACTGTGTGGATTTGCAACTTGCTATTTTTATCTTTATATACCAGTTATATGGGTAGATCTTATTAACTGATTTTCACTGAAGGTACAGAAGTCCATATATGAATATGTCATAATTTATTATCCATTATTTGGTTGATGGATAGTTAGGTCATCTCTAATTATCAACAAAAGTAGAAATTTATACAGCTCTCTCCTTGGGCACCTTCATTGATTATAAAGAGCAAGTACTTTTAGAAGTACCAGGGTAGATGCAGTGATAGAAGAAAGAGGTAAGCCCTGCCTTCATGAAATTTTCATATTATGAGTGACAGAAACAAATAAGTAAATAAATAAATATAATGTCAAAGAAGTACTAGAAGGACAGAGAAAGCTGGAAGGAAGGTGATAAAGAATGACAGGATGCTGTGTTAAATATGTGGCCAGTGAAAGCCCTTCTGAGGGCATGTGCACATGTGAGGAGCAAGCCACACGCACACCCAGGAAGCACCAGTCCAGGCAGAAGGATCAGCAAGTGCAAATTCCTTGATGCAGGTGTGTGCATGCCAACATCATTGATGACAGCAAGACAGAGCAAGTGACCAAGGAAGAATGTAGCTTGAAGTGAGGTTGGAGATGGAGCCAAAGGCTACATCAGTTGGGCTTCAGTTCTCACTCAGTATTTTAGATCTTATTCTAAGTGTGTTAGGAAGCCTTTGGAGGGTTTTGAAGAGTGGAATAACATGACTAGATTTGGTTTTAAAAGGTTTAGTATGGCTGCTGTGTGGAGCATAAATTGGATGTACCGGGTAGGGAGGAGAAGGCATTGCCCGGAGAGGGATGATGGAAGCTTGGATAGTCAGTAAGGCCGGAGATGGTGAGAAGTGATTCATTTAGGATTTCTTCTGAGGTTGGATCTTACAGGTTTTGCAAAAGAATCAGATATGATGTGAAAGAATGAAACAAGTCCAAGATGAGTCCAAGGGTTTTGACTGGGTAAATAATGGTACTATTTTATATGCTTGGAAAGGAACAGGTCCAGGGGTAGGAAGAAGCAAAATATGTTGTATATATGTACATTGGAAATGCCCATTCAACATCAAAATGGAGAGTCCTACTACAGGTCTGTAGTGTAAGCTGGAGGTTAGGACTGGAGAGCTTAAAAGAAGAAATGTAAAGCTATTGGCTTGGATGAGCTCAGGTACTGAGTGAGTACAGATGTAGCGGAGATCTGAGAGCTACGCCGCTCTGACATCCAGAGTTTGGGAAATATATGAGAGACTCTAGGATACATATATAGAGGTAGTAATGCTGGGCTGTATCAGAGGCATATTTTTCACTTCATAAACTATTGCCAAAATATTCCCCAAGGTGGTTGTACCAATGTAGGGTCTTACCAGAAGTTTACAAGAATGGCTTTGTGCCGCATTCTCACCCACACTTGAAAATGACAGACTTTAAAATTTTCATCGCTTGTGAAATGGTCAAGCTACGCTTTTTAAATGTGTGTCAATGGTCACTTCACAGACCTTTAAAACTTAGAAGGAATTTGGAAATAAACAAGGACACACCTCAATCATGACATTAATCACACTGCCAAGGAATTGTGGAATCATTTGCCTTCCCCCTTAAACAGATGGCAACTGCCTTCGAGGCTGGGGACCTTTCTTACTGTTTTGAATTCCTAGCACCTGGTACAGTGCTTGGCACCCAGTCAGCCCTCTACAAACTTCAAGGAATGAAGGAAGGGAAGGGAAATACTAGCCAAATTATTGCATGAGCCCCACCACCTTACAAGCAGGGAAACTGAGGCCCAGGAGACTAGTTCCTAGCTAAAGGTCATACGGAAGTGACAAGAATCATATCACCTCCTGCCACTGCTAAGTGTTAGATTTTCTATCAAGTTGTACCTCCCTTTGTTGTAATCATAAGCAATGTGAAATAAATTATGATATTCAGAATACTGACAGAGGGGGAAGGAATGAAGCAGTCTTGCTTAAAACAGGTATCTTTATCCATAGCAGAAAGTGTAAATGTACAACTACAACCAAAGAGAAAACTACTGGGCTTGGAAGAATATCAGGGGTGAAATCACAGAGTATAAAGGGCCAGGCATATCTATAAAGAGCGTCCAGATAACCTATAGAACATTCAGCCACAGTCACTGGCATTAGATACAAAGAAACAAGCATGTTCTAAAAAGGAGGAAACTGAGGTCCTGAGGTTCATGGACATATGGGACAGATGGAACATGAACTTTCATCTCTGTACATTCTCCACTGAGACATAAGGCCAAAGGCTCTAGCTGAGGTACCCTCAGCTCTGCCTTCCATATTCCGTAGGCGTTTCTTACTGCTGTGGGATCGATTTTAAAATTTCTCCCCATGCCTTTCCTTTGACAAACATTTGAGTGAACAACCCTTTGTTTCCAAAGTTTCTTTGAAAGTGACAAAGGTCCAGAAACACCAGCAATTAACTAAAGGGATTCCTCACCATTTAATTTCATATCAATTATATTTATCTTTTATACCAAAGGTCAAATGAGGGGTGAGAGGGCACATCAAATCACGTATTAAATTTATTTGGCTTGGCAAAACAAAAGAGAGAAAAAGAGAAGGTATAAGTTTTTATATGACAAATTTATTTTCAAAGATTGCAAGTAGAGACTGTATTGGTTGTTTTTATATTTCAAGCAATATGCAATACTAAAACCTAATATAAAAAAGTACATGGGGAATATCACAATAATGTATTTAATAATACAATACATTTAACAGTATACTTTGGTCAGCATTGACTAATACTGATAAAAGGTAAAATTTATACAAACTTAAGAGCAAGAAAAGAAAATCAGTCATCAATCCATGGCTCTAGGAAGTTCCAAAGCATTTACAAATACCTTTAAAAAATCAAGACATTAAAAGCTGCATAATTTCTTGTTTTAAAGAAAAAAATCATTTTTTCATGTTTATTACCTTTTTTCTTCAAATCTTCATCAGGCTCATACATCTCAATGATCTGCATTGCCCTTTTGGCATCATAAAATGGAAATAAAATTTCATTCAATCGAGGATCTCGTTGGTGCTATGATAAGAAAATAACTCCATTTAGGTTGATATTTCTTGGCCTTGAGGCATTAGGCATTTAATATTAAGTTTATTATTTCTAAACAAAATGTATCTAGACTATCATGTTTATAATTACAAAGATAGGACTTCACTGCCTTCCTGCCTTTCTCCTTAAAATATACTTCCAAAAGTCCAAATTTGGGAGTACTTTTGGGTTACTCTCCCGGAACTAGAGAGAGACAGAATACATTTTTCCCTTTCAAAGTTGAAGGATACATAATACAATGTGCATGTCAATTGTACTGTCTTCCAGTTTCCACACAACAGGGAAGACATTTGGCATAAATGTCTATAAAAATTAAGGCGAAAATATTTTTAAAAAGCAAACACCAGCTGCCAAAAATAGTTCAAATAAATAAATAGATAATATACTAATTTAAGTGCTCCCCCCCAAACCCCAAAAGCAATAACAACAAAAACCCTAACGTTAGACAGGCAAATATCTCATTTTCATTGCAGCTTTCTATATTAATCCATGATTTCTTGTGCACTAAACAAATTTCATTTTCTTAAGTAACTATTTTTTTCAAAATGAACCAATTGTAATGATGAAAATTAATCAGCACAAGGATATTTATAGGCCATAAACAATATAGAATTCTCTGGGCAGAGTCTCATGAATGATTATGGGACTTAAGAGGTTGTTGACATTATTTTTTTCAAATCGACACCTAAGGAGCCCCTGCTATGACATGAGACACCAGGAACAATGCTGTCTCTGCAGTGATGTCATCCTGACTTCATGGCAATGATGAAAAATCTAATTTACTAACTGACTCAGCTCTAATTGTGTGTGTGTGTGTATGTGTGTCTCCCTCACTCTTCACTAAGGATTAGAGGACTGTACTGTATCTCTAGTCATCCTTTACATAAATAAATAAGTGAATAAGTAAAGCAAACTTCAATGGAATAGTGACAGGTAAGCAGATGTGAGCAAAACCTGGTCAATAAATAGGATCTTGGTGACAACTCTTTACCCAAATATATGCACAGGCTGAAAAACATTGTTGGAAAGGTATTTACAAAGCAATTGTTTAAAGTTCATATGGATTTCCCTTCCCTATTAGTCTTAGAATGGGCATTGGAAAAGTGAGTTATACACAGAATGAATGCCTTTGGCCAACAGAGCACTTGGATGTCATTTCCTCATGCATATGAGTCCCAGCCTTTTCTGGTTCCCCTTTCTCCCCTACTGAGTTAAGAGCATTAACTCATAAGGAATCAATTTCAAATTTTATCAGTTTGTCCCAATGAAGCATGCTTCTGTTGTAATCTAAGAAATTATGGCTCACAACAGCTCACATCCATGCATATGCTGGAGCAGAAACTGTTATGTTAACAGCAGGCATTGAGGCCCCAATAACAAAAGTCATGGGATATGCAGAGAAAGAGGATTGTATGTTGGACCACGGAATGCCAGGCAAGGAAAGTCATGCTACACCTTGTTTAGGAAATCGATGCCATCATGCAATGGAGCCCACTATTCTAGGAAACAAGGCGCTCCATCCCTCTGGTGAGAACGCATTGTTTTAAGAACAAACAAGCTGACAACAACAAAAGAAACCATCTTTCTAGGCACATCCCTTTTTAACATCTCCATAAATAATATTATGGAAGAAGATGGGTAACCTCAGCACTGTTATGTTCACAGTTGGCCACTTAATTTCTCTTTCTTATTAAAATTAAGTTTTTTGATTAAAAAATAAGTTTGTTGGTAAATACTTGAACTCATGGAGATGGGGCAAATCCACATGAATTGAAAAATGAGAAACAAAAGGGATTCAGCTACAGGAGAGAGAAGAGATAAAATTAGGAAAGGAGAGGGAACTCAGACATTTTTGTGCATTTTAAAATATACACACATGTGTGTATTCTGGCAAGGTACTGCCTGAAGTGTGATCTGTGGATGGCAGCATCAGCCTCATCAACACCTGGCAACTTGCTAGAAATGCAGATTCTCAGGTCCCTCCCTAGATCTACTGAATCTACTGATCCTGAGGTGGAACCCATTAGTCTGTGTTTTCAATAAGACTTCTGAGTAATTCTGATGTGCTCAAGTATAAGAATCACTTTACCTAACATGTAAAGGTATGCATTTTAACATGTTTGCACATCAGTAAAAAGAATAGTACCTAAGTCCCACAAGGATAGAAGAATGTTCAGTGTTTCAGATGTCCTCCCAATTAAACCCTATTAAAATGTAGACAGAGGGTATGACATTCATTAGACCATTCTGCCTATGGGAAGCCAAAGTCAGGAAAGCCAGCTCCCAAAATGGATGTATCATAATCCCCTATTCTGAAAATTACATTCGCAGCAAATAAGCATGACGCATAGACAATGTGAAATTTCATTTGTCTTTGCTTCTGCTCCACTAGATAACAATCTTCAGCTCTCTTTAAAATCTTCATGCTTCTAAAAGGTAACATAAAGCAATCTGAGTAATCCAAAGGCAAGAAAACAAGTGTAAGATTTGTATTAGAGACAGAAAAGTATCATTTTCATATGAAAAAACAAGAAGAGAAGGGTCATTTCCAGCTGATCTCACAGTAATAAGGCTGTAGTGGAGTTCCACACAGACACAAGCACAGTGAGGTGAATGCTTCACATCTCTGAGGAACCATCAGTTTTCAGTCAGGATTTGGGAAAGCAATGTACTCAGCTTATTCACCCCATGGTATACAGTGCTTTGTAAAATGAGATTCTTAAAAAAAAAAAATAGGTGACAGAACTGTGTTCAAGTAAGTAAAGAAGAGATAAACAGAGCTCCACTATTATGTCCTCACTGGTACTGAGAGGAGACATCATTTGGCTTCAATCCAAGTAGCACTGGGAGAGATGAGTGTTGACATAAATAATATTTTTAAAATATAAAAGGAATAATTGGCAATGAGAAGCTTACTCATAAGACTAAATATCCTCATTCTCTCTCTTTGCCTGTGCATTAAAGCATAAAGATCTTGTAAAAGGAAAGAGATCATGGGTCCTTTTAAAATATTCTTTCAACTGCACAAAGAAACACGTCAAGTTGAGTCCTGATATGATCCTATGATATGTGTGAGGTGGGGGAAGATTACAGGCAACAAGAAAGTAAATCTACTTCTTGATTCCTGTGGTCTAAGACCTTTTTCCTCTCTTCCTTATTCTGATCTCTCTCTAGTGCCCTCCACCCATCTCCCAATTCTGCAGGACCCTAGTTATCATCTTTTTAAGAAGTCAAACAGAGAATGAAGGTAACATTAAAAATCGATTTTGCTTCTCATTAGGAATACTGAGAGGGGATGTAAAACTAACCAAAGCCAAGAGATTTTAACTAGTCTTGCCACATACAAGCAATTGAGCTAGTAGTAATGTCACACCATGTGGCAGCTCACATTAAGTGCCTCTGCTATCCCTCCTGGACTCTAGTTTGGTATTTTCATGATACAGACAAAGAAGAGTTCCCTCAGTCCACCAGATGAGACTAAGAGGCATAGATGTGGCAAAAATTTTAGCTCTGAGTGGTGGATTTCTATGGCTACATTCTTAATGGAGAATAACAGAAAGCATATGTGGCTCTCGTATTCTTCCCACTCACACTAAACATTCCAAGGAGGAATCCAGTAATCCACTAGGACAGTGATTTACAAACTTGAATGTGCAGATAAATCACCCAGATATCTTGTTAAATTTAGACTCTGACTCAGCAGGTCTGGGTGGGACCTGAGACTCTGCATTTCTAATAAGCTCCCAAGCAGTACCAATGCTTCTGGTCCATGGATCACATTCTGGGAAGCAACGAACAAGGAGATACTGAGAAGCCAATGAGGAGTCAGGTCTAAAGCTACTACTGAAAAGCTAGTTAGCGTTGATTGCATGGAAAGGTAGGAGGTTATATCCTACAGGGTGACCAAGGCAGAAAATGAACTATAGTCTCTCCTCTCCTTGCAGCACCCTGAAGATACACATTACTATATGAATAAAAACTTTCACAGAAAGAGTAAAGAGATTTACGATCTGGAAGATGGTAGGAGCCAGCATGCCTTTTGCTAATATAATAAGATTTTTGTTTTCCTACTGTGCATCCTAACTGGTTAGTGGCCATGTACGTGTCTCTAGGCTTTTGCTTTCCTCATTGTTTCTCTGGTTACCTTGCTGAATTCTCTAATACTTCAAAACGTTTTTCCATTGAATTGTTAATATCAGGGTAGACAATGAACATCTGCAAATGAAACTAGGGCCCTGTCCTTTCCAGTGTTTATGGAATTTGCTTATTTCTTTTTTTTCTTTTTTTTGGTCTCATTATATGAACCAGTGGAGTGGAAAAATTTGAAATGTTTTCTAGTAAAATAAATATTGTATTATACTCAAAAGATTATTTAAAAGTAGAGGCATCTGTCTGATATGTGGAGTAGTACTCGCTGTTTCTTGCATCAGTGCATTTACACTTTAGTTAACATAGTTTCTAAAGTGCAACCTTTACAAATTTGAAGCCACTGAACCTTCACAAGGAACCTTCACAAGGGCTTCCAATGCAGTAATGAATACTGGCTTGTTGAGACTATATGGTTAAGGCATTTTGAAAATTTTTAGGTTTCAACTTTTGGAGTCATAGACCCTTACATTCCAATGCCCATTCCTTTCTTGAGTGAGCTCTCTCTGTCTCCTTTTGTTACCACGTTTTGAAGTTGTTCTGCCCAAGGGGTGTTTTTGATTTTGGAGATATAAGAGGGGCCAGGGTAGGACTCAAAAGAGGGGGTGCAAGGAGCAGGCAGAATATTCTCTATGTTTGACAAGCCTTCTTCAAGCAGACATTCATGTTTTTGTCTAGTTCTTCCAGTTGAGTTCACTAGGATAGAAAAGGAAGAAATTCAGGGCAGATACTTGGATTAAAAATAAAGGCTACCAACGTTCCTGAACATTCTGACAGTCTCTATGACCTAAAGAAATCTAGAATCACACTGATTCCATCAGTCACACCAAAAATTTAAGGTACTTCCTTAATGTTAACGAGACAACAAATAGAAGGAAACGCTAAAAAAGCAAACCAAAAAAACTATTGTCTACTGTAATAGTGAGAGATAAAAGCTTGACAAATAATAAGTACTTTAAGAAAGAGTCTGAATGCCATAGCAAGAAAGTATGGCTGATGATATTTTTAAAAAATTAAATGTTGTGTCTCAGACTTGTAAGAACTACAGGACTGATTATTGGGTACACCAACAAAAATAACCCATAAAAGGTAATGCATCAGATAAGAGACTATAAATACTGCACCTATCCTCCGTATCTCAGTTGTTTCGTCCTTTGAACAGTGAATGCAGTATTAAGGCCTCTGTAATGTTTAATAGAGGGCTGGTGCCAGCTTCATCCCAAAAAACCACAAGAGGCCTCGTCTTAAAAAGTGACAAATTGATGATGGGGTGGATTTTCTCCTTTACACTAAACTATCTTCCCTCTTCACCTCAGCAAACCTAAGATGATCAATGAACCAAAGTGCATGAAGAAGCTGAGGGACATAAAACAAAACAAAGCAAGAAACCGAAAAACAAAAGGCAGAAGAGGGGGAAGGGGTTAAAGAAACAAAACAAGGCAGTTTAACTTCTGAGCAGCTGTGGTAGAAGAATGTGGATAATATCTGGGTAAAGATTATGAACATTGTATTTATATGACTAAAAACCAGTGGGGTGGAAAAACTTGAAATGTTTTAAAGTAAAATAAATATTGTATTGTACCAGAAGGATTATTTTAGAGGCATCTGTCTGATATGTGGGGTAGTACTTTCTCTTCCTTGCATCAGTGCATTTACACTTTAGTTAACATAGTTTCTAAAGTGCAACCTTTATAAATGTGAAGCCACTGAACCTTCACAAAAAAAGAAAAGAAGATGTAATTTGTCTCTACAAAGTGGCAAATTACAGTCTGCCTTTTTATCTTAAGAGAATACCTTGTATCTGGCACAATACCGTCTTTTCTAGTCTTTTCTTTTTATGTGGTAGAATGATTAACTTAAATTATTTTGAAACAAAAGCATATTATCCATTTTTCATTTAAACTCTTATTAATGTGTTAGAAAAAAAAAGTGAATTTTCTATCTTGGATTAACAAGAGTCCTGACGGGTTTCACCGAAGGGAAAACGTTTTTGTATGTATAAAGAAAAAAGCAGTTCATTTTAGTTGTAGGAAAAGTTGCAAACTTTTCTTGTTCTAAAATATTTTTCTATTGTGCTTAAGCAAATTTTATCAACCAGTTTTGGTTGTTAAGTGAATCACATTCTAAAATTAGCTCTGAGCTTGTTATAAAAAGTACAAATTTAACCTGCAATCCTATTAGCCTAATACTCAAGATATTTTCACCCAGGAACTCAAGTGTTTTGCTTGTTGTCAAAATATTCCATTTAAGCCAACATATTTTTCTTACATGCAATCCATTAAAAGATAAAAATAAAGCTTTCCAATCCATGCAAAGGTATGAGATAAAGGTAGCAACGGAGAATCCAACTACAGTGTAGTAAACCCAATCCATTCTCTATTTAATTAGATCAACAGAAAAAAAAGTATCTTAAATATCATCTTGCAAAAACAGACACATTTACTTAAATTAATATATTGTATAATTCACACATACACACAGAACCAGAACTACATATAACAGCCAGAAACCAACAAAAAGCGGTGTGCAAAGCCAACGTGAAGGAAGCACATGAGCACACAGGGAGGCAGCTGATTTTTGCACCTGGTAGAGCCATAATGGAAAGATCAGCAGGTCAGAAGCAAAGCGAATAAGGGCATATGATGCAGGCATGCAATGAGGACACCAGAGGAGACAAGCCACTGCACACAGACTTTATGGAGTTAATGTATGAAAAAGCTTACTTCATTTAGAAAGCTCACTAATTGGTCTACCGTTAAATAATCAGTTTTGTCTCCATTGCTGAAAAGAAATTTATTAGAAAAAGTAAGTTTTTGTATATGATGCTACAGTAGGTACGATTTACATGTTGACATTAGTTGATGATAATTCTAAACTTATTTTCTAACCCTGAAGTAGTGGTGAATTCTTAAAATGGCCAGAGACTGTTCGTAAGGAGAGAAAAATAAAAAAACCAACAACAACAACAAAAGAAAGAAAAGCTCCCACCAGGTCATAGAAACTGTCTGCAATTCTTTTTCTATTTTTCTTTTAACCATTTTCAAAAGATGTTATTTCAAAAACAACATGTAAGTCATCCATCTGAAATAATTGGAATGAATGAACTTCTCAAAAACATATTAACATTCCAAATTGAATCTAGTTAGTTCACATAATGGGTTAATACCTAAAGGAGCAGGTTAAAATTGTAGGTAGTTAGTAAAGCCAATGCAAAAACAGTTCCAGGTGCTGCAATAAATGTATGTAAAAGTTTCTCAAAAACTAAGAGTGAACTTTTACACTGATAAACTATGGGGTGAAAAATGTAACCCTGACTAGATATTCCTAGATACTACCAACATACTATATTAAAATAGGACAAAAATGTTTTAAAAATCGAAAAGGACACTGATAATATTTATATGACACTTTCTCATTAGAGGAACTTACATTTTTTTGAAAAGATCTTCTATATCTGTCCGAGGACATATCTTTTGTGTCAGTTCATAGAACTTTTCATAAGTAAATGCCGTGGGCTCAATTTCATCATTCTGTAAGGAATAAGAGCATGTCATGAATCACAGAACTGTTTTTTCCCTTGGAGGGTGAAACTTCACAGGGTCATGAAGCACAGTGAAGACCACTTGGACCCAGGGTCCTCATCTCTGATTCCTGCTGACAGAAGCCAGGAGGCCAACTTCCAGGCACTGCCAGGCCATCTCACTAAAAAATAGTGCGTGTACATCAGTGTTTTTAGTTATCATGCTGCCAGATTTTGTGTGTGCAAACACGTGGCTACAGCTGGGCTTGCTCTGGGAAACACCCCAAAGAACGAGTATAAACATTTCCTCCAACTCACCTTGAGGGAGAAAAGTGCCTGCCTGAGGGATGCTGAATAAATCAAGCCCAAGGTTTAATTATGATTATGTTGTGAATTTTCACCTAACCATGTGAAGAGGCTTAGGGTAACCTTGCAGGATTTTACTTTTCAAACTGAAATTTATATTTCAAATAGGACTTACCAAAGCAGTAATCTTTCTTGAAGCTTCAATCTTTCTTACTAAAGCTTCAATCTTTCTCAAAGTCAATACATTAATTTCACTTATTTTATATTTGAAGGGCCATGAATACATATGGTGTGGAAAGAGATGCTTCACAAAATATTGCACAGCCACCTTGTAGAACTGAATATACTAGTTAATTATTCATGCTAACGTTATGCCTCATTGAGGCAGTGTTGGTGAGTTTCTCTAAAATAAAAGCTGTGTAACAGGGTGGCCTGGGCTTCATTTCCTTTTCTAAGAAAGGTGACAAAAATCATTTGAAGCAAACTATCTACATTTTTAGAAATTTAGGTTAAAATGCCCAGGAAACACAAGGAAGGAAGAGAGGGAGGGAGAGAGGAATGGAGAGGGAGGAAGAAGAAAGAAATGAAAATGAGCTGTACTACATGTCACTGAATCTAATGCCAAATCTAATTGAGATCAGTTTAATATAAATAATCTAGCTCATTACATATGAGAATATAAACAAACAAAATGGTTTTAGAAACATATTATTAAGTTAATGAATACCTTTCCACTGGGAAGACCTAACTCCTTGAGTGCTTGAAAGATCACTTTTTCTGTTTTTCCCGATGCAAAGGTTCTAGTAATACTAGGGCAGAAAAGAAAGAAAGACACATTCGAGTTATTGTTCATTATGTTTTCTCTGATGCAAAGGTCCAGGTCCTACTACGGAGAGTGAGACTGGGGAAAATGGAAAAGGAGAATAAAATTACTTCCCGTTTCTAACTGTTTTTCATTTCCCAAACTAGTTCCTCCAGTGTCCCTCTGGTTCCGGAAGTGGTTATGCTAGTGATGCAACTTGAATCTAAGACCAGGGGTCTCCTTGCGCTTGTGAGAACAAGGGGCACTGAAGGGATGAGGATTTTATTTTTTAAAATTTATTATTATCATTATATTATTTTTTGACACAGAGTCTCACTCTGTCGCCCAGGCTGGAGTACAGTGGTGCTACCTCAGCTCACTGCAACCTCCACCTCCCAGGTTCAACCAATTCTCCTGTCTCAGCCTCCTGAGTAGCCAGGACTACAGGTGCACGCTGTCACACCTGGCTAATTTTGTACTTTTAGTACAGATGGGGTTTCTTCATATCAGTCAGGCTGGTCTTGAACTCCTGACCTCAGGTGATCCACTCGCCTTGGCCTCCTGAAATGCTGGGGTTACAGGTGTGAGCCACTGTGCCTGGCCTAGGACACACATTTTTGGACAAAAACTGATAAATTCTGATGCTACCAAATTGTCTTCTTATGAAAAAGGAGTGTGGCAAATGAGGCAATAGCTCTAGAACAAAACCTCATGTAGACAACATTTCAGCCTGGTGAAAAGAAGGCAGCCCCTTACAACTCACCCCATGTCTGTGGTTGTCCTTATCCTGGTTCACACACTTAACCACAGTTGACACAGGCGTGACCAGACATATTTTGTTCTTGTTTTCAAGCTAAGCACCCTTGAGCTCCTCTGAAATGTCAGCTGCCTGAAGGATTAGGGACTTTATTATGAAAATGATGGGTTGGGTGAGGGGAAAGGGGAGCAATTACCTAATGTTGCAACAAATATTGGCAGTATCCCAAGACACAGTATTTTTGAACAGCCTTTTAAATAAAACAGTGAACATCAAAACTAGTAGAATAGATAACACCTTAATGAACATACTTCATGGTGATGATAAAATAGGAGAGAGAGATTCTCCATTGTAAATGCGTTGGTGCCACTCAGAATGAAAGCTATCGAGGAGAGGACGTGGTACCCTAGAACTCCAAACTTGGCTCTGAGCCATACCTTAGCCACCAAGTTGCCTTCACTGACTCCCTGACTGGAAGCCCATGTAACGTGTTACCATAATAATTTTAACTCAACATTCAGAAGTCCAGCTTGACTTGAGGATAGAGTTTTACTGCTATCCTTGAAGGCTGGCTTTGGAATGCCTCCCCTGTGAGCCTGGGAGGATGTTTAACAGCATCTCATGCCCAGCATTTTTATATGTTCCGCCATCCATGCTAAGTAGAAGGCAAGCTCTGAATGTGAGTGCTGACAGCCAGTTCATCTTGGTGAGTGGGAGAAAGCACCACTTCAGTGGCAGAGTAGGACTTCCAAAAATAGACTGGGGAGAAGTAGCTTTAGGTAAATGAATTATGTGTTCATTCAGGGCTTGCTTTATTGTTTCATGCCAGGTCCAAGAATACTTCAAGAAGTACGTTTTTAGTTCTTGAGACAGTTGTATTCAAGTATAAGGAGGCCTGTGAATTCTCTAACAAGTCTACAGACATGGCAGAGAATATGTGTGTGACATCAATAAATGGTTAAGTTTCCTAGTATAGAGGGTGCTATGTTTATATTTTTCATCTCTAGAGTTCATGTAATTTTTAGATATTGAATTTGGGGTAAGACGCAAATTTTCTAGCCTTTTTAATTTAGGGGAAAGCAGCTGTTCAGGGTGACTTTTATTTCATAAAAAGTATGTGTTAACCTAGCTAGTGAGACTCTGGCAGGATCTGGCACCCACTATCAGGAGAAGAATCTCTGCAGAGCAATCTCAGGGGTATCCCAGCTAACTGACACCTCTGGTAGGTTTGGACATGCCTGGCATAACAACATGAAAACTGATCAACATGGGCATGAACGGAGCAGGCATGTTTTCTTAGCCTTTCTGGTGAAACAGAATCTGGGTACTAACAGGAAGGGAAGAGAGTATAAGAACTGAATCTTCTGACTAGGGTTTGGTCAGGTGCCAAAAAGTAGAAAGTAGAAGAATGTCTCAAGGGGAAGGGAGATGGAGCAGGGCAAGAGGGGGGATAATATTGTGGCTGTGTTTCATGGGAACACAGAGTATTTACAAAGGGACTGTGATTTCCTCAAATCTCTATGTAGCCCCATGTCCACATAAGCTTAATGCTTCACAGCTTCCTGGTACTCAATGAGTTTTTGTTGAATCAAAATAAGCCACCACCCATTCCCCCAAAAGAAATGCTACAAAAGCAAACACCTGTGAGTTGTGACCAGTCCTATTAGAGTCCTGGTTAAATTCTACTCCAGTGGACTCTGCAGGTGGCTAAAACAGCGACCATCCTAGAAACCAAGGGAATCCCACTCTTTGCTAGCCAGCACAGGGTCTGTAATCCACACAGTGATTTTGACACCACATTCTGAAAGTCAGACAGAACTCTTGAAGTGAAGGAAGGGACTACTGCCCCAGCAGAATCATACCCTCCTCGTGGGCTATTGGGCCTTCAGGATGTGAATGGGTTGATTATGCAGGAGTGCTTCCATGACTACACTGCAGTTCTCAGCCTTAACACAACTGTTTTGTTTGGGATCTCCTCCAGCTCCTGCCCACAGCTACTGTCTGGCTACTCATTTCCCAACTTTCTAGTCATTGGTGTCCACTCCAGGTTACGAGGGAAGAGGAAAGGCGGCGAAAGAGAAGTGTTATTTCCAAAACTTTAGTCTGAGTGGGAGGATAAACTGAGTGTGAATTTGTGAGTTTGAGAGAAAGGGTGACTGCATGGGTTATGTACACAGCAAGACAAGAGAGGAGGGAGACAAAAGGTAAGACTTTTTTCATGTGTCATTCCTGTAATTTTCTGGATATTAAATTTTGGTTTAATGCTAAAAGCTATGTAATCATTGGGAAGCCAGTTCTCTTTTAATATTACCGACAGTACGCTAAACAGTTTCCATTTTAAAAACATCAGAATGATAGGGAAAAAATAAGATTTTAAAAGTGTTTATTCTTCATATCCATTAAAACATTCACAATTTCCACCTAACTCTTGGCAGCTCATTCACCAATAGAGCTATCTGAATTTTTGGCGTGCAATCAATTCTCCATTAACTGTAACTGCCTTGAAATCACAGCTGTCTTGTGTCAAACACCTGTTAATACTGGCAAGCACCAAAGAGTCCATGTCAAAGAGAGCTAAAGAAGATGCCAAAATATCTAAGCTATTTCTATGAAAAGGTGGTAATAATCTTGTATGTGAACATGTTAGATAAACATCACTGGAATCAGAAGTGACTTTAAAGCTTATATGACAATGGCTTGATTTGTAGGAGACATACAATGAAACCAGAGCTGCTGGTTAAAAGTGCTTTGATCACAATCTATGTATCTCTACTTTGCCCATTTCCTGAACCTTATCTTGGAAGAAAAAGCAGGATAGTAAGGCATGTAAAAACACAACCAGCCTACATTTCTATTCTTCACACTGCTTTGTGCTGTGTGATTTTAAATAAAAATGCAACAGCTGTCCGGTACTGGGATACATTAAAATAATTGTTCTGCTATTGCTCAACTGAGCAAAGAATTTTAACTAAAATAAGGATAAGCATAAAGTATCTGCCAACAGCCATCGGTCAAGACTGCTAACAGGGCTTTTTTTGAACTTCTAAAGTAGACAAAAAAATTGACTTGGCTACTAAGTTATTAAATAAAAGCAGAGAATCCTACAGATAGATCTGGAAAGACCACAACAAATGCATGAGGTCTGTGACACAGTAAGCCCTCAATAAAGGGTTAAATTTTAAAAAAATATATCGCCCAAGGTTTTCTTCATGACTTTTATGCTTTACATTTTCCTGATATTTCAGTGGTCGCATGGATACTTTAGGTCATCACGATTGTTTAATACATGGAATTGAGAAAAATGACTTCTGGGACAATTCTGTTAAATGTGAAAAAGTAATGTCAAGGGAGCATGGAGATAGTCTCACAGGGATGCAGAATGAAAGCTGAAGAGCAGAATGAAGCTGCTGGGCAGGGAAGGAGGCAAAGGAGAGTCAGAAATGGCCAGGAGCCACCAGCACATGCCACTCACTGCTCAATGCATCCACGCAGATGCTGTGCCCTCAGTGACCTTGTCATCTCTGAAAGACAGAGCAATTCTAAGACAGGATTCCACCCAGCAGTTCTGGGTTTTGTTTGTTATTATTTGTTGATTTGCTTCTTTGCTAAAGGGGTGTCCAGAGAAGAAGTCAACGTGAACCTGAATCTGGAGAATCCTGGAAGAGAGAGTTGGTATCTGGGGAACCCGTGTTTGATTCTGGTTGTGGGCTTAGGTTCATGAATCCAGATACACACATGTCTTCATGTGAACAGCAGATGCTCTGGGGCCCAGCCCAGCTTTTGGAATTTCCATGAATACTTAACACAAACACCAACGAAAAAGGTACTGGAGAGTTTGGTAAAGAATTCCCATCACTACTGTGGCAAAAGTTTCCGACTGTACCCAGAGAACATGTGTAAACCCTAACCCCTGGAAGGAAGTGAGAAGCAGAAAAGATGGACGCATGGGGAATCCTCAGAGGGTGAAATCTGTCCACCTAAGTATTAAAGAACACGTGGAGGATGTATCTGGTTCATGTTTTCTTTACTCTTGATTCCACCCAAGCCTTTTTATTCTTTGTCATTGTTACCTGGGTTAGGGCAAAGGCAGAAAGGACAGCTCCACAGAGTGAGTGGTGTCAGTTACAGTACACACAGAGAGTAGAGAGTAGGCAGCACGAAGCCAGAGGAGGAACCCCATCTGCCCTGAGCACCAGAGGAACAGCAAAGCCCAGAATGAAAATCCTCTGTTCGGAGGCATCACACTTCTCAAGACATGATCCACACCCTTCCACAGTAGGTGCACAATATAGTTTTCTTTAACTTTAGCTAACAGTTGGTCAGGGCAAATAAGCAAAATAAACGTAAATCCTAAAAACCAAGTTATTTGCAGATTTTAAAAAATAGTGCTACATTTTCAGATGTTCTTTAAATTGTCAAAGTACCTCTTTTGCTAACTATTTTGACAAAAAAATGCAGCTTTACTTCCATAAAAGATTTTTACAAACTGAATATAGCATTTGCCAAAGAAATTAAAACTCAGATTCCAGAAATCTTTAAAGCATTGTACACACAAATACTTGTGAAGGGTTCTCTCTTTGGATTGAGATCACAAAGGTTGACACAGGGCATGGACAGCAGATAGGAATGGCTACTTACCTCCTAACCGGAATTTTACCATTTGTGTTGGTCATAAATGCCAATTTCATCCAGCTGCAAAACAATAGCAATAACACTGCCTTAATGTTTCTGAGGGGTAACAGCTTCAATACTGTTAAGAACTTTAAAAGAAAGTTCATTCAAATAAGAACATTTGTTCTGGAAAATCAGACGATTATGTACTACGAGATGAATTTAGGGTTGTTAGATTTAGCACATAAATATATAGAACTCTCCGTTAAACTGGAATTTCAGAAAAAAAATGGGGAAATTTTTTCTGCTATAAGTATGTTCCAAATATTGCATAGGATATACTTATACTAAAATATTATTTGTTATTTATCTAAAATTCATATTTAACTAAGTGTCCTCTATTTTATCTGGCAACCCTATCTAAATGAGATGACTGGGTACTTGCATTGAGCAAAACATATTGTTGGTACTTATTTGTGATTGGTCTGCTCTTGATTATTCCTCTTTAATAACACATTAAGGTGGTAGGAAATACAACTGCACAGTGATACTGGCCAGCCTGGTCTTGAAGACTCATGAGGACTCATCACTCCCAGGTCCTAGTGCTGCCAAGTACTGATCACCTGGGTGCCTCCTTAATTTCCAATGGTAAGGCTAGTTCATCAACTCAAATTGATGGTGTTTCCCCAGGCTTTCAGGAGATTCAGAACATCTATCTATATTTTGGAGCTAGGACTTCTCTTAGCTAATGACTCCCATTCTCACTGTTTCCAATCAATCATATGCTAACAATCTGCAAAACATGATTTGGTAAAGCTTCTGTTTTAAGTCAAGTTTCATAGAAGCACCACTAACTACTTTAATAAGGGGATGTTTTAGGGATGAAGGGAGTGAGAAGAAGAAGACTGGGCAGAAAAAAGAGTTAAGCAAAGTTATGGTCTCAGATGGAACTTTATTTAGCTTGATCTCACGTGATTTGTGCCAGAGTTGGCAACAAGAGGGATGGCCTTCTGTATGTTGTTGCAGCTCATCATTGGCTGTGGACTTCCCCCAGGAGGAGGGTCAAGTATAATCTTCCAGCCATGGACACTCCCCTGCAGCAGAGGGCAATGCTCTGAAGAAGTGGACAGGTCTGAGCCCTTAGAGAGCCTATTCTCATCGCAGATGATGACTGGGTGAACACCAGCTCCATAAAGGGATCTGGGCAGGATGTTGTTAGATTTGTGTCACTCAGGTATAAGCAAGCCTTCTAAAAGTTTTTGACCCTTTAGGACTATCAGTGCCTGAAGTCATAACATCAGAATATCCACTGGGTTTCTCTTAAAAAAAAAAAAATGTCACAGCAACTGCATAGGAAAAGAAGTAGCTGTACAACAAATAGGAATAGACAAGACTAAATAATTTTCCTCCACTAAGAAGATGAAAGAAAATTGGAGGAATACCATAAAAATTAAGATAAGTAGTACTGAATGAAGAAAACTTTCCAATTTCATCTGCATGGTAATTTCGAGTCACAGATGAGGACAGTGAGGCACAAGCCTAGGAATTTGCCATGGTGAAGGTGGAATTTACAGCCCAGAGACCATATTTGTAAGCACCTGCCAAAGTGACCAGAAGATAAGACATGACAGTACCTTTAGGACAAACCTCTTGGCCCATTGCCAAGTGAGTACAATAATCACACTCTTGGTGCTAGGGCATAATTTTGAGAGATGCAGGCTTATCCCTGCAATTTCTCCACATGGTACTCCTTGGCACCTCACAACTGCCTGCCAATGGCCCTGTGAAGGCAGATGGCCCTCACCTTCATGGATCACTGCTTTTCAAACTGGCTGACATTTGACTTTGGCTAGGATTCCTTTGTGGGTAATTTTCATATCACCTTGAAAGGTTAACTTAGGTAGGGTTTAAATCTACCACTGCAGTGCCCCTCTGGATTTCAGATACAGTAAGCTGGAGTAATTCCTCCTTTCATGGAAAAAATAAATGTGGAAATCACCACTGGATCCTTGATCTAATCTTTAAATGAATGAATCCTACAGAAAAAAAATTCAGAGGCTATCTTTGGATCCCTGATTGTGTGCTCAACAGGGAGCACTATACTCGGGGCTGAGGCTTCTTTTTTCACCCTAGCAACAGGTGCATTGGCAAGTGCTTCTGTTGGCCACACTCTTCATTTCTCAGTTTTATGCAGCAGAGGATCGAGTTACCCCAGCACTGGGCGATGGCCCCCAGCATGCAGTACCATCTATCAGAAAACTCCATCTGGGGACACAAAAGCCACTGCCCACAACTCAGAGGATACAGGGTGAGTGAGGTTCCAGTGTCCTTTGGCCATCAACTATTCTTTTCAGATAGGTTTTGGCCTGTGGGTTTACCATGCATGCCCTTCTAGGTGGCATGAAGAGTACAGGTGTGTGTTGGTCAACTCCAAGGTCAGGAGCATGGAGGGACAGGCAAGCAGGAATCTGCCTGAGGAGGAAGGATCCACCTAGCCTTCACCTCCTAGTCTGACCATTTGTTGGGTAACTGCCAAGAAAAAAGAGTAAATGAAAACAACACTCACTGTTTTTTGAGGCACGTCATTGGACTGACATTGTTGGCCCTGAAGTTGTGTATGATTGATCTCAGGCCTTCTACCCATTGCTGAAAGAGAAAGAAAAAAGATTCTTGGTGAGCAAATCTGCTGGAGTCAAATAGAGTGGTTTTTATTAGATAGATTGTATCCATTTTGTATAATAAAAACACAGACTCTTCTTTTGTCCCTTTTCTGTTGCACAGCAGTCTATATTTTGCATGTTCATATTTTATTCCTTAATAAACAGCTTTCATTCTTTCCATGAAGACAAATGTGCCATCTATCGTGCCATTAAACACTGGGCTGCCACAAAGGAATGCTACCCACTGGTTGACTTGTGAAGCCTTCCGTCTGCAGCTTGTTTAAATATAAGCTCTTTTTCAGTTGCTGGTAATCTTAGTTATTTCCAACCAGCATTATACAACACACAATGACATATTTTGCTATTTTCATTTTAGAGGATGAATGCATAGGGGTTTATCAATTTTATTGTGTGATCCTTTGTTACATATCTTACCTATGTGTTCCAGCAAAGCCTTAAAAAGTAAAACATTCTTTGATTGCCAGGGTGATCAGAGCAAACAGCGATGTGCTCACATAATTTCTGTATAAGGACTTGGACCTCACTTGTAGTTCATACCATCACTCCATGGATTTACAAGGACAGTGAAGGGAGACTGTGCATGGCAGTAGAGGAATTTGGGTCTCTAAAAGGGCATTTACTAGAAAAGCTTAGCCCATGAATTAAGGCCAGCTCTACCCTTGAATCCAAAAACTGATGCCAATGAATGCCATAAAAGAATCATACCCTTGGCAAAACGCTTCACAACAAATTGATATTGTGGGTTAAACAGAACTGTGGCCCACACATAAGCCAATTCCTTACTTTCTTAGGTCTACAGCCTGACTGCTTAGATTTATAGCTTAGTGCTGAGGAAGGAAAAATACTTTGGAATAGATGGTAATATAGACATAAACTCTGCCTGCACTGTCTAGTATGGTAGCCGTTAGCCACATATGGCTATTTAAATTTAATAAAGTTCAGTGCCTCATATTCACTAGTCGCATTTTACATGCTTAAACGCCAACAAGGGGTGGATTGCTCAGAAAGTGCAGATAAAGAACATTTCCATCATCACAGATGGGACTGTTGGATAACACTGCCTAGTAGAACCATGTTTTTAAAAAGTCAAGGAATTTAATCTCTGTAAGGGCAAAGGTGATGACTGCATTCTAACAGTATAGTTTTCTTTTGCTTTGTTTTTTGGCTGTTTTACCTTTCTTTTAATTTTAATTGTGGTAAAATGGACGTAACATAAAATTCACCTTCATTTTTTTTTTTGAGATGGAGTCTCACTCTGTCGCCCAGGCTGGAGTGTAGTGGCATAATCTTGGCTCACGGCAACCTCTGCCTCATGGGTTCAAGCAGTCCTCCTGTCTCAGCCTCCTGAGTAGCTGGGAATTACAGGCACGTACCACCATGCCAGGCTAATTTGTGTATTTTTAGTAGAGACAGGGTTGGCCAGGATGGTCTCGAACTCCTGACCTCGTGATCCACCCACCTTGGCCTCCCAAAGTGCTGGGATTACAGGCATGAGCCACCATGACCGGCATCTTCACTATTTTTAAATGAAAAGTTCAGTGGCATTACGTACATTCACATTGTTGTGCAACCAATATAGCCAGCCATCTCCAGAACTCTTTTCATCTTGCAAAACTGAAACTCCATATCCATTAAATAATAACTCCCCATTATCCGCCCTTCTCCCTGCCCTTGATAAACCAGTCTCCTTTCTGTCTCTATGATTCTGACTACTCTAGGTACCTCATATAAGTGGAAACATGCCGAATTTGTCATTTTGTGACTGGCTTTCTTCACTGAGCATAATGTCCTCAAGGTTCATCCATGCTCTACTGTGTGTCAGAATTTCTTGCCTTTTAAAGGTTGAATAAGACGTTTATCCATTCATCTCTGATGGACTCCTTGTCTATTGTGAATTGTGTGTCTACTGCGAACATTGGTATATAAATAACTCAAGTTAGTGCTTTCAGTTCTTATTTATGGATAAATAACCAGATGTGGAACTTCTGGATCATGTAGTAATTCTATTTTTAATATTTAAAGGAAATACCATACTGTTTACTACAATGGCTATCCCATTTTTGTACACTAACAAAGGACTGCAAATGCAACAAGGGAACCCTTTTGCTCAAGGGTGCTAATTTGTCTACATCTTCAACAGCACTTGATAGTTTCTGGGTTTTTTTTTTTTTTTTTTTTTTTATAGTAGCCATTCTAATGAGTGTGAATCTAATAATTTTTTACTGATCCTGGTCATACCTAACAGTTTTCTGAGGGAAGGCTTAGGGCTTACAAGAGATAAATTTTCTTTTGTGACTAGCAAAGGCAGAGCTGTAAATAACATCGAAAGCCTCAGTGAAGTCAGGATTCTGAAGGAGGAGGAAGAAATGAAATAGCAGAATTAAAGAAATGCCTCAATTATTTTTCATCAGCAGACCCCACTTCCTCTGTCACGCTAAATATGGACTATAACTCCCTGGAGACTATCAAATATCCTGTTATTGACCTAACAAACCACAGGCCCACACACAGCTTCCCAAGAATAGACAGAAAAAGCACAAATAATTGGGTTGGCATTAACTGGGGAGCATTTTCTCAACCTGCAGGCTTATTACATGTTCCAAAACACAAAACAAAGTCCACAGTTTACTAGGACAAAAAAAGTGGACGATTTCTGAGACTGTTCACTAGGCTGTTTCTGATCATTCTAATTTAGTTGTTTCTCAAAATAAATTACAGAGATGGTGCGCTTTGAAGAGGCTTAAACAACTTTCATCCATCTTTTGAACATATAACGCTGTGAGGAATCTTGTTTATTGTGATGGAAAGGTCAGTGAGAGTGGCCTTTAAGGCCATCACTCCAGTGACAGGGCCCATACTTTAGTTAGTAGGAAATGCCACCAGCATCCTCAGAAACCCTAAAGGGCACTGGGAGGGAAGGTTGCTGCTTCTTTCTTCTTGCAATGATGAAAGTGAGGTCAATGGCCTTGTCTAAGGTCACAGAGCAGCTGGTGCAGGGCAGACGGGCAACAAGAGCTCTGGATTACATTCTTCATGTCAGGAATTTTAATTTTCACCCAATGGCTTGCCCATACTTCTTTATTCATGGCATGGTAAAGGCCCCTTCTATTGTCGTTCAGGTAAAGTACACGTAACATAACAAGGGCAAAGGAAAATGTTAATGCTTCGTCTCGTGGTTGTTTTTAACATATAATAGATGAAATGCCAGCAGGTGTCAGCAGAGCCCTGGAGTTTTGTTGGAAAGTTACACCGGGAGTGAACTAGATGCCTATCAACTTGTTTAGCTGTTTCCAGATTAACAGAAGCAATACACCATGAATTGGGTATTTTTTTGAATTGCCGAAAATAAGTTTGAGTGGTAATCATCTACACAGTGACCAGGAGGCACATTTTCCAGTCCTTGGAACACAGTCATTGGCTGGATGGTGACGTGTTCTGGAGATGACTGCTGCCACACTGGGCGCTTTCCTTTTGGCCCAGCCACCCCAAGCCGAAGCCTGCGCCTGGGTGCCACCCCAAGCCGAAGCCTGAGCCTGGGTGCTGAGGGACCAGACCACAGGAGGGAGTCGGCTCCGACGTTCAGATCAGCGTGGTTTCTCTGCTTCCCTAGCAGCTTGTTAACTGTTACTCTTCTCCCATTTTTTTTTAACCTTTTCTAACCATTTCTAAGTTAACGTCAAGCATATTTCAGCCCTTCTAAGAAGAAGGGGAAAAAGAAAGACTCTTCAAGGGATTTGAGGGCTTGTACTGAGTTGTTTGTGGGGCAAGGAAAGAAAGAGAAGCTGCCTCTAATTCTCTCCTGGAACTTTTGACCTCTCTCTCTGGGATTCCTTATTTTTACCACCCAGGCCCTGTCCAGCATCCAGGCAAATGTCCAGACCTTGCCCTTACCCATCTATTACCTTTGCTCCCAGAACATTAGGACTGACATAGCCTAAAATAATAATCCTTTTCCCATGAAAATACAAATGTAGAGTGATACAGATACAACAAACCCAGACCAAAAATACTATAAACTTACACTGAGCATATATCTTACGTTTTTCTTTTAAAAATACTGGCTAGGGGTTTTCCCCCATGTTATGAAAACAATATTTAAATGTGCTTCATAGGAAAATGTAAACCAAAGAAATATACAGCAAAAAGCAAATCTCATGACTTTTATATTAAAAGTTGGCCACCAATAACATTTCGCTATTGATATTTCTTTCTTTTTTTTTTTTTTTGAGATGGAGTCTCCTTCTTGTCGCCCAGGCTAGAATGCAGTGGTATGATCTCAGCTTACTGCAATCTCTGCCTCTCGAGTTCAAGCGATTCTCCTGCCTCAGCCTCCTGAGTAGCTGGGATTACAGGCACCTCCCACCACGCTTGGCTAATTTTTTGTATTTTTAGTAGAGATGGGGTTTTGCCATGTCAGGCAGGCTGGTCTCGAACTTCTAACTTCAGGTGATCCGCCTGCCTCATACTCCCAAAGTGTGCTGGCACTACGGCCATGAGCTACTGTGCCTGGCCTACGTGGCTAATTTTTTTCTGTGCTTTTAGTAGAGATGGAGTTTCGCCATGTTGGCCAGGCTGGTCTCAAACTCCTGACCTCCGGTGATCCACCTGCCTCAGCTTCCCAAAGTGCTGGGATTACAGGCGTGAGCCACTGTACCCGGCCTGCTATTAGCATTTATAACCTTTTTCTAGGCACAGGTTGGTCTGTTATCCTAAAAAAACTAGTCCTGTTACTCATCAGGCAGCACAACTTCAGGCACAGTTCTTGTTCCTTCATCTCAATCTTATCTCTAGGTTTTGAGCCTGAAGAATTATATTTAGTCTTTAAAAAAGCATATTGTCAAAGGAAAAATGAACAGAGACCCTGTGGCAGTCTCCAAGTTTGTGACGTAATTTTCTCCAAAAGAACTCAATAGCATCTTCTTTTGTCTTTTGATATTTGGCTCACTGCTTTCACAGAAGAGGCTA